ATACCCCCTTTCTCCAAAACGCTGCAGTAAATAGGTTTCATGTGAGGTACAGATATAGTTTGCGATGTCCTGTATAAGAACTGACCATTGTCTTTTTCTACTTATTTGAAATGGGGTCTTTATAGCACTTTATATTATCTTAATACCCCCTTTCTCCAAAATGCTGCAGTAAAAAGGTTTCATGTGAAGTACACATATAGTATGGTATGTCCGGTATAAGAACTGACCATTGTTTTTTCTACTTATTTGAAATAGGGTCTTTATAGCACTTTATATTGGCTTTATACCTCGTTTCTCCAAAATGCTGCAGTAAAAAGGTTTCATGTGAAGTACAGATATAGTATGGTATGTCATGTATAAGAACTGACCATTGTCTTTTTCTACTTATTTGAAATGGGGTCTTTATAGCACTTTATATTATGTTAATATCCCGTTTCTTTAAAATGCTGCAGTAAAAAGGTTTCATGTGAAGTACACACATAGATTAGCATGTCCTGTATAAGATCTGACCATTATTTTTTTCTACTTATTTGAAATGGGGTTTTTATACAACTTTATGTTATTTTAATACCTAATTTCTCCAAAACAGTGCAGTAACAATGTGTCATGTGATGTACACACAAAATAAGGAATGTCTTGTACAAAAACTGACCACTGTTTTTTTCTACTGATTTGAAATGGGGTCTTTATAGCACTTAATATTATGTTAATACCCCATTTCTCTAAAATGCTGCAGTAAATAGGTTTCATGTGAAGTACAGAAATAGTATGGGATGTCCTATTATAAGAACTGACCAATGTCTTTTTCTACTTATTTGAAATGCGGTCTTTATAGCACTTTATATTATGTTAATACCCCCTTTCTCCAAAACGCTGCAGTAAATAGGTTTCATGTGAAGTCTACACATAGTATGGGATGTCCTGTGTAAGAACTGACCATTGTTTTTTCTACTTATTTAAAATGCGGTCTTTATAGTATTTTATATTATGTTAATACCCCGTCTCTTTAAAATGCTGCAGTAAAAAGGTTTTATGTGAAGTACATATATAGTATGGTATGTCATGTATAAGAACTGACCATTGTTTTTTTCTACTTATTTAAATTGTGGTCTTTATAACACTTTGAAATATAATAATATACAATTTCTCCAAAACACTGCAGTAATAAGGTTTCATGTGAAGTTCACACATAGTATGGGATGTCCTATATAAGAACTGACCATTGTTATTTTCTACTTATTAGAAATAGGGTCCTTATAACACTTTAAATCATATTAATACCCCATTTCTCCAAAACAGTGCAGTAAGAAGGTTTAATGTGAAGTACACACATAGTATGAAATGTCCTGTATAAGAACTGACCATTGTTTTTTACTACTTATTTAAAATAAACTCTTTACAGTACTTTATATTATGTTAATACCCCGTTTTTTTAAATGCTGCAGTAAAAAGCTTTTATGTGAAGTACACACATAGATTAGGATGTCCTGTATAAGATCTGACCATTGTTTTTTTTCTACTTATTTGAAAGGGGGTATTTATAGTACTTTTTCTATGTAATACCCTGTTTCTCCAAAATGCTGCAGTAAAAAGGTTTCATGTGAAGTACACATATAGTCTGGGATGTCCTGTGTAAGAACTGACCATTGTTTTTTTCTACTTATTTAAAATGCGGTCTTTATAGTATTTTATATTATGTTAATACCCTGTCTCTTTAAAATGCTGCAGTAAAAAGGTTTTATGTGAAGTACATATATAGTATGGGATGTCCTGTATAAGAACTGACCATTGTTTTTTTCTACTTATTTAAAATGGGGTCTTTATAGCACTTTATTTTATGTTAATACCCCATTTCTGTAAAATGCTGCAGTAAATAGGTTTCATGTGAAGTGGAGATATAGTATGGGATGTCGTGTATAACAACTGACTATTGTTTTTTTCTACTTATTTAAATTGGGGTCTTTATAACACTTTGAAATATAATATTATACAATTTCTCCAAAACACTGCAGTAATAAGGTTTCATGTGAAGTCCACACATAGTATGGGATGTCCTGTGTAAGAACTGACCATTGTTTTTTTCTACTTATTTAAAATGCGGTCTTTATAGTATTTTATATTATGTTAATACCCCGTCTCTTTAAAATGCTGCAGTAAAAAGGTTTCATGTGAAGTACATATATAGTATGGGATGTCCTGTGTAAGAACTGACCATTGTTTTTTCCTACTTATTTGAAATGTAGTCTTTATAGCACTTTTTATTAGGTTATTACCCCGTTTCTCCAAAACAGTGCAGTAAAAAGATTTCATATGAAGTACACATATAGCATGGGATGTTCTGTACAGGAACTGATCATTGTTTTTGTCTACTTATTGGAAATTGGGTCTTTATAACACTGAGTAATGTTAATACCCAATTTCTCCAAAACACTGCAGTAACAAGTCTTTATTTGAAGTTTAGAGTGTGATGTCCTGTATCAGACCTGACTATTGTTTTTTTTCTACATATTTTAAATGAGCATTTTTTGTCCAAATTGCTGAAGTAAAAAGTATTCAGATGTAGTATATATGCATATAGCATGTGACATCCAGTATCAAACCAGATCAGTCTTTTATTTAACTTATGTCAAACAATGTATTTATGCACTTTAAAGACTTTATAGCTCAATAATAGCACATTTCTCCAAAATGCTGCAGTAAGTTATTATGAGGTATGCATATAATATTGGATGTCCTGTCCATTGTTTTCTTCTGCTCACCTGAATGAGGTCTTTTACATGAGGTATGCATGTACATCCTGTATCAGAACCAAACTTTGTTGTTTTTCTACTTATTTCTTTATAGCACTTTAAAGTGTGTTAATGGTACATTTCTCCAAAATGCTGCAGTAAAACAGGCTTCATATGATGTATGCTTAGTATTTGACTTCCTGCATCTGATCTTATTGTTGTTCTATTCTACTTATAACAAATAATAAGGTCTTTACAGTCATCTAAAGTGTAATAATGCCCCATATCCCATATACTGAAAGAAGCATACATTTTTAAATCCCCTTTAAATGAAATAAACATATATTTGTAATTCAAACAATGTTTTGTTGGACTACTTTATGATTGTTTTCACTTTCTGAGGTTAGCCACGTTGTATAAAATTGCATTTAACCTTATTTGCAATGTACTGTAGTTGGCTAGGAGAAGTAGAAACGTATTCTGTGTATTTAGAAATCGTATATTTATTCTGTCCGTTTGATCTGCTATAAAATCATTTGAAGCAAAAAGATAAACTTGAGGAAATTAAAGGTAAGCCCAGAAACCAATTTCTTAAAATAACAACTGTCAAACAAAGCTAATAAATTGTTTAATAAAGCATACGTGGGAGGAAAGGGGGATAAACTTATATTTCGTTGTCATCTCTCTGTTCTGGGCGAAATGGGTGCTCTCTGGAGCGCTCTCTGTGTGGCTGCTGACATTACCGTAATGATATTAATACGCGCGCGCCGAAATATAAAGCGCGGCTGGCTTGACTGTGTTTTTCCGAACCGCGGCTGGCTTGACCGCAGTGACGGACAGCACCAGGGAGCCGACGACGATCAACAAACTTGCAGGTTAATCTCCAAATATTCAGAGGGTTTCAGTGTTATTTTACTGCGACAAAATTAGTTATTTAATCCTAAACATTTACCAACCTACAGGATTTTACACTGTAAAAAATGCAGGGTTCCATGTGCATGTTGTCCCAACACAAATTAATTTAACTTTACACTTTTAACAAATGTATGTGGATTGAACATAAAAAATAAGTAAAAAAAAATTAATTAAGTCCTAATGAAATCTCCAGAATTGTGTTGTTTTGGCTCATTTTAAATAAGTAGTTTGAACGACCAAAAAATAAATATTTTTTTTTTTAGTGCATGGATCACAGTTTGTTTCGTGGAGTTTTCTGTTAGGCTATCTGATATTCTTTCATTAACTGTTCTCTAAGTTTACCCAATTATATGATGACTTTAACTGCTGAGAAAAAAAATGTGAAAAGGGTATATGACTTAATTACATTTTTTATAATGGCTTATTTTTGTATAAGCTAAAGTATTTAATTTTTATTTTGTCTATTTTGTATTTGACCTTTTTATTCCATTGCTGGAATTCAGTTTGACATATGGGCCAATAAAACCAGCATGGTGTAGTTACAGATTTTGCATACAGGCTGATGGTATAGATCTCACTATGGGTTTATACATGGAGCCCGAGGGCAGAGATCGGGGGAACAGCTCTCTGCCATTCTTCAAAACCAAGAGGACGAGATCAAATGAGTAGTATGAGTAGGCTGTGTGAGTTTTTTCATCTTACAGTTCAAGAAATTAGTTTGAGATTTTTTGACATTGCTTGACATTGCCATATCGTGCTGGAAGTAGCCATGTCAGGACAGGTACACTGTGTGTGGTCATATACAAATACAATATATTCATGTTAAAAAGTTAGGACCCCCTACTGATTTTTATGGTTTTCCAAATCGGGAAAGAATTAAAAAAACAACATGAACTTTGGGAGGTTTTGAAGATCCACTTTTAGCTGTAAGTAGTTAAAGTAAACACCCAGACTGTTTTAGTTTTTCTCTTCAGTTTCGCTTTAGTAGATGTACTGGTATGCTTGGAATCATTGTCTTATGGCATGATTCAATTTTGGCAAAGCTTTAGCTGTGGGACAGGCATTGTGTTCATATCTTGTACCACTGAAGGCTACAACTGCTCAAACTTCTGCTGAGCATCATTGCAAGCATTCGACTAGCAGTGGCTAACGTTTTTTTTATTTATTTTTTTTTTATTTCCCAACTTTTAAGACCAGCCAATGATTGAATGTTTAAAAATTGTTCTGAAATATACAAATGGAAAATTGAATAAGATGTTCTAAGTTTTTCCCATGAATGTATAATGAATTGTTTTTAATTGTGAACTGCATCTTAACTGTCATTTCCCTGTCATTTTTCTCATTCTTTCCCTCCAGCTGTTTTATCCTGTTCGGTAAATAATGGAGGTTGTGAGCATGAATGTGTCCAGCTTTCTCCAGTTCACTTCCAGTGCCGCTGCAGACGTGGATACCAGCTTACAGCAGATGGCAAGCGCTGTAGATGTGAGTCTTCGTCTTATTTACTGCATCTACATTAGGTTGCAAAAAAATTCCCAATTGTAAATTTAAATACTTTTTAATCTAACTCATTTCCCTTTTCCCTATAAAAACAGATCTTTTGAACTTTTTCCTGATCAAAATATTGTTTTATTTTATTATATCGTACACCTGTTTGAATGCAATTTTGAAATCGGTTCTTTCTTTTTCTTTGCAAAAAAACAACCTTTAATAAAACTTTTCCAGTTTATCTGCCATTGGCAAGATTCAACACTTCTCCACTATTGAAGAATTTTTCGTGGCTTTACATGTTTTCGTTTTTATATGGGCCAATTTTGACATTGTCTAAAGGAGTGTATAATTTACACATCCACAAAAGCAATGGATAAGAGGTAGAAATAAATAAATAAATAAAAGCATTGGTATCACTGTAAAAATAACAATCATGCCTTAATTTTTTTTGTTGTTGAATCAAATGAACCTTTTCTAGTAAGCTAATTTTCAAGGTGCTGTATGTAAGTTTTTTACTCTTCTAATGCATAAAAATACATTAGGTGAGCAGGTTACATTGAAACCCTGTGTCCTATAACAACACGCTACATGATGAGATTTGCAGTTATAAGCAATTGGGCTGTTTGCACCAGACAGAACACAGAAATTTGAATCCAATCAGAAATACAGAATATTGCACTTACTGCCCTCCAACGAAACGGTAAGGTTTACAATCTAATCAATACATATTAAACATCTTTAACATTATTAAATGTACATGCTGAATCACTGATATGTGTTCGCTTGCACTGAGTCACAGATCTAAACGGTTTATTCTATTTTCAAGATTGAGGTGAACTATTTGCTGCTGCTTTCAGTAGTAAGGCAATAATTGTCATGTAAAATGGCATTCAAACTCACATTATTAGCATTTAACACTGAATAAAGCACGCAAGGTGTACCTGGGGTAATCATTGTCAGTTTTCTGCTGTTTACCTGCAATAAATAAAAGTTGCTTCTAATATATAAATTTCAGGTGTTGGTTTAGACAAAAACTTCTTTTAATATGCAAAATATTCCTTCTATCGCATGCCGTTGTTTTTACTTAGAACACGACTTAAATCGGCCTTTGTTGGTATCGTCAATCTGGCAACCTGCTCTTGCCTGTTTTGAAACAGGGTGCAATACCTAGTTCCCCTGCGGCTGGGGAACTCCAATGCTATAGGTGGGTTTGATCTTTGAAAATCCACGTATGGGAGGATTCGGTTCAGAAGCCGCTTGTCTGAAAGAGCATTGAACGGGCCATTGAAAGCCAATGAATTGGCAGCGTAAGCTTGCGCAGGTGTGCTTTATTGCCAATTATCCCAGCATATAAGCACACGTGGAGCGAGCAAACGGCATCCTTTTCGCTTCAGTGACTTCTGATCGAGTCGATGAGGGTTCCTCTTGCTGATCAAAGCGACTTCAGAGCAAACGAGTGTCTTCCGGTCCAGAGTGGGTTTTCGCGGAGGCAGACGGTCGAGCTGGGTTTCTCCCTTGCCTGGCGATCTTTGGGTCCGGTTCTCCAGAGCGGTGTGTATAGTTGCAACTTTCCTAAAAGAGCAACACCGTCGTGCAGCACGTCCTTTTCAGGATGGCGCTCCGACTGTGCATTTCTGGATGCGGGGGTTTCCTGACTCCGGATGATGGACACGATCACTGCATTACATGTTTGGGGGTCCAGCATGTTAATGTGGTGCTCGCGAGCGGTTTATGTCGTCACTGCGATGCCATGACCGTAGCGCATCTAAGATTGCGGCTAGCTTACGTTAGAGAGCGAACCACCCCAGTTGCCTCCTGCTCTGCAGCGGGCGCTCGGGCAGATCTGAGGGTCCCAGCGGGAGATAATCTGCCGCCCAAGGGGTCACGGACCTCCCGCTCCTCCAGGCGCTCTATCCAAGCTTCGGGCAGTGGGAGTGATCCGTCTAACCAGATGGTAGCTCTCACACTCTCTGACACCGGAGACCAGACGTCCACTGCGGCATCGGAGGGTGGGCTATCACTGTCCGACGAAGATTCAGATCCGCTCGCCCCCTCCGGGCAGGTGAGCGCCGTCACAACGGATTCTGAGGCGGACATGTTAGCCGTGCTTTCCCGGGTTGCAATCGAGCCAGTTCCTTCAGCTGAGATGGAGAGTGGGTTTTACAGCCCGTACTTCATCGTACCCAAAAAGAGCGGTGGGTCACGGCCAATCCTAGATCTGCGCGTTTTGAACCGCTGTCTGCACAAGCTGCCGTTCAGAATGCTCACGCATAGGCGCATTCTCCAATGCGTTCGTCCTCGGGCTTGGTTTGCAGCCATAGACCTGAATGACGCGTACCTCCATGTCTCCATTCTTCCGCGCCACCGCCAGTTTCTGCGGTTTGCGTTCGAAGGTCGAGCGTGCCAATACAAGGTCCTCCCCTTCGGGCACTTTCTGTCTCTGCGGGTCTTCACCAAACTCGCGGAGGGTGCCTTAGCGCCCCTTCGGCTCGCGGGCATCCGCATACTCAATTATCTCGACAACTGGCTGATTTTAGGCCACTTGCGGGAGCAATTGATTATGCACAGAGACAAGGTGCTTCGGCATCTCCGCCTATTGGGGCTTCAGGTCAACCGACAAAAGAGCAAACTCGCCCCCATGCAGAGGATCTCTTTTCTCGGGATGGAGCTGGACTCGGTCACTATGGTAGCGCACCTCTCCGGGGAACGCGCTCGCCTGTTGCTGGGCTGTCTGAGAGAGCTCGACAGCAAACTAGTGGTCCCACTGAAGTTCTTTCAGAGGCTCCTGAGGCATATGGCATCCGCAGCCGCCGTCACGCCGCTCGGATTGCTCCATTTGAGACCACTCCAGCACTGGCTTCACGATCGAGTCCCAAGACGCGCATGGCACGCAGGCATACACCGAGTCTCTATTACTGCGCTGTGTCGCCGCGCCCTCAGCCCTTGGAACGACCCCTCGTTCCTACAGGCCGGTGTGCCTCTAGGACAGGCGCCCAGCCATGTTGTTGTTTCAACAGATGCTTCCAACACGGGCTGTGGGGCCGTGTGTTGCGGGCATGCAGCTGAGGGCCTGTGGAAGGGTGCCCAGTTGCATTGGCATATCAATCGCCTAGAGCTGTTGGCAGTGTTCCTCGCTCTCCACCGCTTTTTTCCGATGCTTTTTTTATGCGCTCTCGCCACATGTCTCAGCTCGCCCGCCGTCTTTCTCCTCTGGAGTCACTCATTGCTAGTTGTTTTTTTCCCTGACCGAGGGCTCTCTCGGCACGAATGCACTGGCCCACAGCTGGCCTCGGGGCATGCACAAGTATGCATTTCCCCCAGTGAGCCTGCTCGCGTAGTTACAGTGCAAGGTCAGGGAGGACGAGGAACAGGTTCTGCTAGTTGTGCCCCTCTGGCCCAACTGGACCTGGATATCAGAGCTCTCCCTCCTCGCGACGGCCCTCCCCTGGCGGATCCCTTTGAGAGAGGACCTACTCTCTCAGGGACAGGGCACCATCTGGCACCCTCGCCCCGATCTTTGGAACCTCCACATGTGGTCCTTAGATGCGAGGAAGACTTAGGTAACCTACCGACTGCGGTGGTTAATACCATCACTCAGGCTAGAGCCCCCTCCACAAGGCGCGCCTACGCCTTGAAGTGGAGTCTATTCACTGAATGGTGCGTCTCTGGCAGAGAAGACCCTCGAAACTGCCAGATCAGTGTTGTGCTCTCTTTCCTTCAAGAGAAGCTGGAGAGCAGGCTGTCGCCCTCCACTCTCAAGGTTTACGTGGCTGCCATCTCCGCTTATCATAACGCGGTAGCTGGCAGCACCGTGGGAAAGCATGACCTCATCATCCGGTTCCTCAGAGGTGCTAGGCGAATTAATCCATCCCGCCCCCCTCTCATGCCCTCTTGGGATCTCGCCCTTGTTTTCACGAGTTTGTGCACAGATCCCCTTGAGCCACTCGATTCAGCATCTCTAAGATTTCTGTCCCTGAAGACCGCTCTGCTGGTCGCGTTGGCCTCCATCAAGAGGGTCGGGGACCTGGAAGCATTTTCGGTCAGTGACTGGAATTCGGGCTGGATTACTCTCACGTTATCCTGAGACCCCGCCCAGGTTATGTCCCCAAGGTTCCTACCACCCCCTTTAGAGATCAGGTAGTGAACCTGCAAGCGCTGGCCCCGGAGGAGGCAGACCCAGCCCTTTCCTTACTTTGTCCAGTTTGCGCTCTGCGCATTTATGTGGACTGTACTCAGAACTTTAGATCATCTGAGCAGCTCTTTGTCTGTTATGGCGGTTGGCAGCAGGGAAGTGCCTTATCGAAACAAAGATTATCCCACTGGATTGTGGATGCCATTTCACTCGCTTATTCGAGCAGAGGTGAGCCGTGTCCCCCGGGAGTGCGTGCACACTCCATTCAGAGCGTTGCATCCTCTTGGGCGCGTGCACGCGGCGCATCTCTAACAGACATTTGTAGAGCTGTGGGCTGGGCGACACCCAACACATTTGCAAGGTTTTACAATCTGCGAGTGGAGCCGGTTTCCTCAAGGGTATTAGGTAACCTTTAGGTGTTTGAGGAAACAACTCGATAGGGTGTTGAAACACGCTTGCTGCGCCATTCTCCCTAACACGGAGATACGTGCGCCTTTTTATCTGTCAGTAAAGTTCCCCATCAGGTGAGCCCTGCAGATTCCTCTGTGGCCCCCAGCACTGACTTAGCGGAGGAGTCACTTGCTGGCCCACTACTTTGTAGGTCTGCCTGCTGGTCAGCCCGCGTTTTGGGTATAGGTGCCTGCTATGCGTGATCCCCACTAGGCGATCCCATATGCTTATTCCGCCATGGTTAAGTCCCCCCTCTCGGGTGGACCCGTGTCTTCCCTCTCCGCTAACCACCTTCTCTATGCGCACTCCCCCTTCTTAGGGCTAGTCCATATGTAATCTTGCCATCTTTTCTCCCCCATTGGGCAGCGGATGGCCTCCACAGCGTCCTCCCTATCGGGATTGCACGCTTCCCAACGTACTGTCGTATTTTCCTAGAATTAACTAGACGCTCACGACTTCCCAAAAAATATATGTAAATCCGTAAAAATTCTGTTGAAGTGGGATAAGTTAGTGCCAGGGACACGTTGGAGGACCGCGCCTCCCATGATGTGGGTGCGTCAGGCCTTGCTTGACTATCCCCTCATCGGAGGCCTTGGTAAGGTGCAGTTATTATAGCGCTTTCTATAGTTGTCCCATACGTGGATTTTCTAACATCAAATCCACCTATAGCATTGGAGTTCCCCACCCGAAGGGGAACGCTCAGGTTACAGAAGTAACCCTTCGTTCCCCGAGGAGGGGAACGGAAATGCTATATTCCATCGCCATAATGACTGTCCCTTAGCTGTTAGAAAGTCTCTTTAGCTTTAAAGGATGGCGTTTGCTCACTCCACGTGTGCTTATATGCTGGGATAATTGGCAATGAAGCACACCTGCGCAAGCTTACGCTGCCAATTCATTGGCTTTCATTGGCCCGTTCAATACTCTTTCAGACAAGCGGCTTCTGAACCGAATCCTCCCATACGTGGATTTTCTAAGATCAAATCCACCTATAGCATTTCCGTTACCCTCCTTGGGGAACGAAGGGTTACTTCTGTAACCTGAGCGTTCAACCACTGGATGTCAAACTTACAACTGCACCTTTAAATGAGTCAAGCTAACTAAAAATATTCCGTTAAACTTTGTATGGCTAAAAAAAATTTCATTGAAACCTGATTAACTTATCAAATTAAGTTAAAGTAACATAACACATTAGTTTTCATGACTTTGTCATATATATTTTGAGTAAATATCAAACATTCATCAGCATACAAACTAAAACAGTTTAATATTACCCAATGAACTCCTAAATCTACAATAATTGTCTGAGAGAGTGTTGATGGTCTCGTTACTTAATTGTTTAAAATGTTTTTATTTATTTATTTATTTATTTATTTATTTATTTATTTATTTATTTATTTATTTATTTATTTATTTATTCATTCATTTATTCATTTGTTTATTTAAATGAAACTTGGCCACATTGAAATGTTGGTTACAAATCCATTAGACTAGAATAAGGCCATCATTTTGATGTGAACTATCATTTTTAAATACTGTACTTTCTATCAAGTCTGAACCAGTATGGAAATTCACATCGGTCTAAGCCAGTTGTTTCAGCAGGGTGCAGAAGTGGTTCTTTTTGTTGCTTGTTTAAACTCTTTACCTTCTGAAAGTTTTGTTATGTTCATGACGTTGTTCATAAAATGTCTGTATCGCATGCTGATAGTCAAGGAGCATGCTGACAGGAGGATGAAAGCAGGAAAAGCTTTGGTCTGAAGCTATCTCATAAAGTCAGTATGTAGCTCTTGGACGTACAGAATAGATGGAAGAGTTTTGGCTGAAAGGGTGAAGCTCAAGAAAGAGATCACTAAAAGCCAGATGTGCTGTTTTCTCTGACATTCTGTCCGTCAATGAGACTGCAGAGTCCATCCTGGATGAGTTCAAATGAAGTTAGACTAAATTTATACTCAATTTAAATACTTTGATAAAGTGGTTGAGCTCAAGAGTACTTATTAAATTTAATAATGGGGTCAAGGAATCCAGTAACAATGAACATGAAAACAGTGCATTATTCTTTCGCCTGCTTTAAATAGCGGTTTAGAAATACTGTACTATGCAGACTAACAGCATCATCATCTTGGCAAACATGGCGTCAATTCCAGTATGTCTGCCAAAATTCAAATCCACTGTACACTGTACCCAGATCCAATGTCCTGACGCTCACCAGAGACCATTGTTCCCCTATGAAGTGTTACCACAGAGTTAGGTGAAGACAAGGAAAATGAAAGAGAAAGAGAGGGGGGAATGTGTATCCTATTGTACGGATAATTTCTCTTGACATTGACACAAAACATGCAAGCATTTTGTTTTTTTTTTTTGTCTGAAGCAGACACAAAAGGATCAATTGTTTTCATATTGTTGTGATCAGCCCTGTGATAAGAGTCTTTCTGCCAGTTTAATACTTAAAGTTACTCTTACAAACAGTACTATGACTGTGCAATGCTACAACAGTGGAAACAGATGTAATGCTATGAAACTTTGACTTCAGGGTCAAATTGGAACTAGAAACAAGTTGCATCACCACCAGCTCAGCAGCAGGGACCAACTAAAGACTGTCTGTAAATTTAAAAAAATATTAAATGTATACCTTTGACATTTATATCTTTTTTTGTAAATCTTGTGTAGCACTATAGTTATTTTCTATGTTAATATTTAGTTAGATTCTTTTTTTGTATTTATATATATATATATATATATATATATATATATATATATATATATATATATAAATCCTTTTAATATCTGCATTTTTTGTGGTTTTAAATATGTAATATATAAGTTAGTGATAAATAAGTGTTTAAATTTGAGATTTATATGCCCCTGAAAGCTGAGTAAATACGTTCTCTGATGAGGTGTGATTTGATGGGACAGCACAATATTTGGTTGAGATACTATTGGAATCTACTGTAGAATCTGAGGTTCAAATATCTAGATATTGATTAAATCCTTTTTAAATTTGTGCAAATTAAGTATTTAGTAATGCATTTTACTTATTAAAATAATTTAGCTAATTGAGTTTTGACATATTTATAATTGAAAATAAAAAACACTTCATGACGTTTGCTTAATATTTTAATGTTTTTGGCATAAAAGAAAAATCTATAATCTTGACCCATAAAATGTATTTCCAGAAATATCCCCATATGCTACTTAAGACCAGGGTCCAGGGTCACAGGTGTTCATTTTTTTTCCACACATGAAAATGTTTCAAACTTACATATGCTTTTGATTTATTTTATGTGCTGGATCTTTGTTTTTATTGTGAAGCTCATGTGATGCTCATGTGTTTTTCTTTACTGGAAATGAAGAGAAAACTGTTTGTTTGATATAAGTATTGTGTTTACATGAGTATAAGTATTGTGTTTACATATTTTATGCCAAAATCCCATTATAATCACATTATGTGTGTGCATGTAAGCAGTCTCAGATTTATTTACAACAACACCAGCCACTAGTGTGCCAACTTGAAGTTACATTTATGCAATGGTCAGAAAGAGTCACCAAAATACCCACCACTGGAATGCACAAAGCAAAAAAATGATCTGTTGTACTGTGCATCACCAATGAATATTATATTCACAGTTTTTATGGGTAATTTTTCAACTACGGGCACTTATGTCCTTTGATCATATATACAAAAATATATAATTTTGTTTAAATTCCTCTTTCTTTGTCAAATTAACAATAAAACCTACTTTAAAATAATACTACCTTTCTATTATATATTTTTTCATATTATTAAACCGGCTTTTGAGTGTCAAAATCACTGTTTTCGCCTTGTCGCACACCCAGAGTTTTAAACTTAAACTATGAAAATAACATTTTAAAATATTATTTATCTGGTAACTATTCATGTATCTTCAATAAGCAGTAGTGAAATAATTTAAATATTTTGTAGTTATTAATGTGAGACTATTATCAATATTATTTATATAGCTGCCGCACAGTTTCAGTGTCATTTCCACCACAACACTGGGATGTCGCTTAAAAAAGTTTGTGTAGAAGATTATTTAGGTGGTTTCTATGAAAATGAATAGTGCCATCTGAGAACATGTTCAAAATGGAGGGAATTATTTTTATCAACAACACTTGATGAAAAATCAAGGTAAATATTGCTTGATAAGGAAATACATTTATTCTACGTCATTTCCAAACATGTTGTACCTTTAAAGATGTTTTTAGAAACCACACAAAATGAAGGTAAATAAGAGTGTTTTGTATTCATGAAAGGCTAGTATCAATTTGAAAGCTAATCAGTAAAGCTATTTTTCATTTTTTCACAATAAACTGTACAAATGTCATTAAGATCATGTCACAAATGATCTTAGACGAAGTTTGACTACCATAATTTATTTCAGTGTATTGAGATGTGCTGGAATTGACATTTGTTCAGTTCATGATGGGAAAAATGTTACTCTTCTTATCTAAGTTTGTCCTCTTACAGATCTTAAAACTAGACAAATTGTTTAAACTTTTGTGGCTATGTTTTGTTGAATTTGAACAAGTTTTCACAAGGCATCACAAGGCTAAAAGTGCCAGTAGTTGAAGAATGGCCCTTATATGTATTGTATACTTTACTTTAGTTAGGTTTTCTAAACACAAATTGCCTAGTTGCGTTTGGTGTTGTTTTCTTTGGTATTGAACAGGTCAAATAACCCCGATTTGAACCCAAATCTATAAAAATGTGCTGAAAGGTAAGTTTATAGCAGGTATAAACCTGACATTATTCCTCGCCTCACTCATGCAGTATATCTTGCTAGTTAAAACACAATTTTTTCCTTCTCATATTTATTCTGGAAGAAATCTTTCCTCCGAAAGCTCTCCACTGCGTATTGCATATATGATGTGTTTTATGTCACATCTTGACTAAGAACTGGCCTGGAAACTATGGGAATGCAGACTGTGAAGACTGCAGGAATTCTGCATGTGTACTGCATGGATTGTGTTGACAAGATAATGAGAGTTTATGTGTGTGAGGGAGAGGGCCAGTGAAATGACTTGATCGGACTTAAATGTTGTGTTTTTCAGTGAGGAACCCATGTGTGGAGAAGAATGGCGGCTGTGTGCATTTATGTCGCAGTGATGGCGGTCGGGTTGTGTGCAGCTGTCACCAAGGCTTCATGCTAGCAATGGACCAGAGGAGCTGTGAAGGTAAAAGCTTCTGACAGCAGCGGCGAAGAGTTCAGATGCACTGTCAAGGAAAGTATTAAACTGCCTCTCATCTGCTGGAGCCTCTTTTTTCCAAAGTTTTTAAAGAAGTTTCTTTCCCATGGTGTGAGTACAGTGAAAGCACTGTCTTTAATTAGATGGATTAGATGGCATGTCTTCTCAACACTGGCCAGGGCTGGAGATGGAGACAATGAGCAGAGCTTTCCACGATCCATGAGCCAGTTACAGCCCTTGATATACTTTTAAGTGATTACACGAGGCAGGAATTTCAGTTTGTTTGACTGAAAGTGAGTCAGGAAATCCTGAGTCTAATCAGATGTGTGTGTAATAGGCAACTTGTCATCGGTAACTTGTAATCGGTGTGTTTCAGATGTCAATGAGTGTGAAACAGGACTGGCAGCATGTGCACACAGTTGCAGGAACACTCCAGGATCGTTTTCCTGCATCTGCAATCCAGGATACGAGCTGGGCTCTGATGGAAGGAAATGCTACCGTGAGTTACACTCAGTTGATTAACTTTTGGTCATGTTTCAGAGAAGCATGAAAACTTTATTGCATACACAGAGGGGAAATAGATGCTTCACATACAAATTGCTAATATACTTTCAATAGTGGTATTTTATCAAGAGAATCAATCATAGTTAATTAACAATTGAGATCTGAAGTGTTTAATCCACACAACTGTTTAAAAGTTTGTAGTTTTAAAGTTTTTTAAAAAGTATCTGTTGCTCATCAAGGCTGCATTTACACTGGAAAAATATGATAAATTGGATTAACCAAATTTCTTAAAGGTAAGTGTTGCAAACAAATTATTTGGGATGGATTTAAACAAACATATTACATTTAGTAATGTTCAACTTAATTTGTTTGTTTAAATTCAGCCCATATAAATTGTTTGCAACCAGTTACCTTAAAATTTTGTAAATCCAATGAATATTTTTTCTGTGTACTGTATTTGATTAGAAATACAGTAAAATTGTGATATTGTATTGCAGGTTTCAAAAAACAAGTTGCTTAAGAAATCAAACTAGGAACATGCAGAATGCTAATTCATGTTGTAGTGGTGTAAAGGAACAAATTACAAATTCTCAAATTACTATAATTAAGTTGTTTTTCCCAGTTTGACATCACCAAGTAGCTTAAAAGTGTGTACTTATACTTGAGTTATACTTAATTGATGCTTCTACTGCTTGACAATTTTCCTTTAAAACCTGCAGTCACTACTTTATATGTTTATTTTTTCTTGTCTACGGTGAGTGGAAAATGTACAAGAAGTTGCTAAATTGTTACCTGAAATGACCATGAGACTATTTAAACTGCATGTCACTGATAAGAAGAATGACTACAGTATATTGACTAAAATCACAAAAGGACATTAAACAGTAACTAAATATACTACAGAGTTTTATGCTTGCAAACACATGATTACACAGATTTCATGTATTCTATCAGGGTTGCATGAGCTTCGTTTGTGGCTCCAACTGCTGGACAGTTGTAGGTTGTTATTCAGGGTTTAAAGTGCATAACTTAAGCATTAACATATCGGCACAGCCAGATTTTTGACTGTTAGGTTAAACGAATTTGCTTCGCATATAAACTCATCAACCTGCTTTCTTTTCACTTATTAGGTGTGTATATTAATAAACTTTAAATTAATCTCTGATTTAAAATGTATAGTCCATGAATGGCAAAAACTTACACATTTAGAAACACCCTTTAAAAGGGGTATGAGCTACATTTTTAATATGCAGGGAATAAAGTGGAATAGGCGTCACAGTGACGCAGTAGGTAGCATGATCATCTCACAGCAAGAAGGTTGCTGATTCGAGCCCTGACGGGGTCAGTTGGCATTTCTGTGCGAGTTTGCATGTTGTCCGCGTGGGTTTCAATGCAAATTGAAATTGGAGTGCTCCAATTTCCCCCTACAGTCCAAAGACATACGGTACAGGTGAAATGAATAAGCTAAATTGGGCGTAGTGTATATGTGTGCATGCAAGACTGTATGGGTGTTTCCCGGTGTTGGGTTGGGGCTGGAAGGGCATCTGTTGCATAAAAACATGTGCTGTTTAAGTTGACGATTCATTCTGCTGTGGCGACCCCTGGTTAATAAAGGGAGTAAGCCCCCCAAAAAATTAATGAATGAATGAATAAAGTGGAATCATTTTCACAGTGTAATACTCACTACTCTTCAGTACTCTGCACTTTATTTTTGAGTAAATGTAATAGTACTTTTACTTGAGTTAGATTTTTTTCTGTTATCTTGACACCACTGCATGTTAAGACAATTTCTTTCTAAAACACCTTAATTTATGCTAACAATATGATTCATGTTAAAAATTTGTTAGCAACATGGTAACTCATTTTAAAAGCATGCAATCAGCAACATAATCCTTGCTAACAATATCTATTTTATCCAACGTATTGCATTTCATACTGTTAAAGAATTAATCATCAATTTATTTTGGATATTCATTGCTTTAATAATCTGCTTCCTGTAGGTATTGAAATGGAGATTGTCAATACCTGTGACTCTGATAATGGTGGCTGTTCACATCGCTGTCAGCATGGTGTTCTTGGGCCTGTCTGCAGCTGTAATCATGGTTATCAGCTCGCCGAAGACCTCAAAACCTGTTTGGGTGAGTATGCAGGTGTACAAAAGCGTACATACATTTTAAAGAGTTTTTTTAGTTAAACAATTTCTTGGATTTGTGCATCTGCACTGATAAACCTTCAAAAGCACCAGTCCTCATGTACATAAAGCAAAATCAAATGCCTGCCAGTCATAAGTTTGGCATTATTTTTTGGGAGGATCAACTTTATTATTTATTTTGGACAAAAATCCTTTTTCTCTTACTTACCAAGGCTGCATTTATTTAAATTAATAACAAATGCATTACACAGTATCATTGTGCTGTGTTATTTCGGTTATAAAATAATATCTTTTGTTTTGATATAAAGTACATTATGTTTTAATATATTGTATTATATGATTTCTAAACAAAGCTGAATTTTTTGCATCGTTACTACAGTATTTTTTTGTGTTACATTATTCTTCAGAAATCATTTTAAATTGTTGATTTGTTGATATATGGCTATATATGAACATATATATGTAATTATAGAATATTTATTTGAACAAATATAGGTACATATTTTTTGCAATATTTTAAAATATATGTTGCATATATGACATGTGGTTTATGTGAAATACAAACAATAACTTACAGTATATGTCATTCATTTCTTTTGCATTTTTGCCGTATATCAGATTTCTATATGGGCAATTATTCATTCTCAGTCAATCAATATTTGTAATAATCAAACATGTTTATTAAGTCTTAAATCATCATATTAGACTTATTTTTGAAGGATCCTGTGACACTGAAAACTGGAGTAATGATGCTAAAAATCTACTTTAAATCACAGAAATAAATGAAATACTAAAATGGCATGTTATATGATTCCCTGTGCTAGTTTTTATTTTTAATCCTTTTTTATTTATTGCCTTTGCTTTGTAGATCTGGAGGAATGTGAGGAAGGAACGTCATGCTGTGAGCAGGATTGCACAAACTACCCTGGAGGGTATGAATGCTACTGCAGGGCAGGTTACAGACTCAATGCAGATGGATGCGGATGTGACGGTACTTCACAACCTGTTTACTGATGACCAACATTAAAGGAGAGGGAGGAGACATACAGTATTGTTCACTTTGTATTGTGTTTGTGTAGATGTGGACGAGTGTGCATCTGATAGAGGAGGCTGTGAACACACTTGTCAGAATACGGCTGGCTCATATCACTGCTTCTGTCGGTTTGGATATCGACTTGGTGAGGACAGACACTCCTGCATTTGTGAGTACATCATGGGGATGTCAGTTATGCGCTGTCTTTTGGATTTGATTTAGTCACAGTTCTCGTGAATGCTATATACTATACACACACACACACACACACACACACACACACACACAGGTATGTGCCATAAAATACGAATTTCGAGGAAAAGTCAATTAATTTTAATAATTTGTTTCAAAAAGTGAAACTTGTTTGTTACATCAGTGAACTACACACAACGTGAAATATTTCAAGCTTTCATTTGATTCAATTTTAATAATTATGTATTAAAGATAATAATCAAAAATGAAAAAATCCAATGTTTCACAAATTCTAAAATTTCATCAATAAAAAGTATCTTAAACACAGGTTGGTCTTCTGAAAAGTGTGTTAACATACTGTATTATGTCCTCAGTACTTGTTGGGCTTGTTTTGCACTAATTACAACATCAAGGCGATGAGGCATAAAGGCTATCAGCCTTTGACATAGTTGAGGTTATGGGATGATATCAGCCTTCTGCTCGTCTGCATTTTGGGGTCTCTGTTCCCTCATCTTCCTCTCGACAATAGCCAATAGATTTTCAATGGGATCAGGGTCAGGTGAGTTTCCTGGCCAATTATGAACAGGGATACCATGGTCCATAAACCAGGTACCAGTAGCTTTGGCACTGTGTCCAAGTCCTAAGTCCTGCTGGAAAATAATCTCCAAAAAGTAGCTTGTAGGAAGCATGAAGTGCTCTAAAATGTCCTGGAATAGAGCTGTGTTGACTGTGGACTTGATAAAAGACAATGGACCCTCACCAGCATATGACATGGCACCCCAAACCATCACTGACTGTGGAAACTTCACACTGAACTTTAAGCAGCTTAAGTTGTATGTTTCTCCACTCTTCCTCCAGATTCTGGGATCTTGATTTTTTAAATAAAATACAAAATTTGCTTTCATCTGAAAAGAGGACTTGGAGACTACTGGGCAACAGACCAGTATTTTTCTCTTTAGCTCAACACCGACACTTCTAACATTGTTTTTTGTTCTGGAGTGGCTTGACACATGGAATTCTACTGCTGTTGCCTATGTCTTGCAGATGTCTGTACAGTATGTGGTGGCTCTTGATGCTCTGACTCCAGCCTCAGTCATCCTTGCTTAACAATTCTCTCAAGGCTATGGTTATGAACCTTTTTCCAGCCAGATTTTTTTCCTTCCTCTTAACACTCTTTAAATTACTGTATTGTATTAATTATACTGTACTTTAAAAGCATGAAGTTTCTTTTGCAAGTGACTTTTGAGACATTCCCTCCATATGGAGGGTTCCAATGATGGTCTTCTGCACAACCGTCAAGTCAGCAGTCAAGCCAGACAATTTCAAGGCTCTACATTAATTAGCGGAATAGATTGAGACACAGGGAGTCTACAATGTTGAACTTTGTCTTGATATTCCAACTTTGTGAAATATTGTATTTTTTCATCTTTAATCCATAATCATTTAAATTGAATCAAATGAAGGCTTGTTTTTTTACTTTGTGTGTAGTGAACTAATATATCACACACGTTTCACTTTTTGAAAAATTAATAAAATAAATTGACTCTCCCTTGATATTCTTTTTTTTTTTGGCACTTACCTTTATATAGTTGTGCTCACAATTACTGTCATTCTTGGCAGTTTTGAACAAATAAAGCTGGGTAAATAAATCTGTTCTTCCTTTTCATCTTACATAAAAAAAAATCACAAAAATCTAGATAAAGCCATATATATTGTGATATTAATAAATGGATAAGTGTACGCTTAGGGGTATGGGTAATTCATAATTTTTTGAAGGTTTTACCTACTTTTACTTCATTTCATTAAAAATATCACATTGACACCATGCAGGAGACTGGTTGCCAGGAAAGCAGTCAGTCAAATGGTATATATGTATTATTGTATGTAAATAACATTTTATTTTGTGTATATTTGTTCCAAAAGTAATATACATACAGTATGTTACTTCATAAGACTTGCAAGCCCTTTTTAGAAGCTAACTGTGATCTGAATAATGTCAATTTATTTTGTATTTGATCTGATTAATAAGCAGAATTATATCCAGCCAATTGAAAAACCCATTGAAGGAAATGCAATATCTAATCATCCTGTGAATTCTTGATTGACTGACAGTATATTATGCATAACATCAAAAGTAAATATGTAAATATATGTAGTTCTCTCTCTGTGATTTCTCCAGCTCTCCAGCAATCGGTTGAGGAATTGCCCGGTCCAGTGGTGGTTGAGCGTCCTCTCCTTCATCTCGCTCTCCTCCAGGATTACCCACAACCCCTGGAGCGCTATCATGACTATGAGGAGGACAGTTTTGGAGAGCTGCGGGCAGAGAGCACCTTCGCTGAGAAGTTTGGTTTGTTGATATGCTAAATATTCCTATTTCTAATTAGTTCCTGTAACTTCTTGTTAATCTTACTATTGTCTTGTCTGTCACAGTGTGTTTGAATGGGACGTTTGGCCATGACTGCAGCCTGACATGTGATGATTGCTCAAATGGAGGATATTGTAATGCTGAAGGAGATGCTTGTGACTGTCCAGATGGGTGGACGGGGATCCTCTGTAACCAAAGTGCGTCTGTTATGTAGTTTTATTCATACACCAACATTAAAAAGTCTGGGGCGGTCAAGCTACTGTATATTTATTTTACTTTAATACTGCAAATATAATCAGCATTTAAAATTCTGGTGTTGGTCAGACTGTGTTTATTTGATTAAGAATACAATAAAACTATAAAATTGGAAATTCCCAATAAATTTTTATGTATTTTCTGTTTTCATGTAATTAAGCTGAATTTACCTTTACTTTGGTCTTCAATGTAATATGATTCTTTGAAAATCAAAATAATATGATAGTTTGGTGCTCAACAAACATTTATTATCAATAGGTTTAAAAAATGTTGTTCTGTCTCATATTAAAAAAAAAACATTTCATTTTTTCAGAAAAAAGCTGAAAAAAGTTTGAAAGAACAGCATTTTAAAATAGAAATGTTTTATCTATACATTTTTATTTAATTATTTATTTTTGCTGCAACATAAAACAAAACAAGATAGTACTGAACTTTTTATTTGCTTTTATAAAGTCAATTTTGATTAGTTTAATGCTTTTTTTCTTAATAATATTGATAATTTTAAAAGACAAATTGGTAGCACTTTACAATAAAGTTGTATTTTGCATTTACTAAGATGAACAAATATTAAAGATACATTTATTACAATATTTGTTCATGCAGGTATTGTACTCTTGGATAAAAAAAAAACGCAAGTGCAGGTTGCTAGATTGTGGACAGGAGCAAGTGATTTAAACCGTGTCCTAAATAAAAGCAGCGGCACCCGATTGAAAGGATGTTTTCCATATTAAATTCCGTTTTTGTTCTAATTAACACCTCGAATTGATATATTAGAAACAGCTTCTATTTCTCACAGCTGAACAACAGAAAACTAAATAAAATTGGCTAAACTAGCATTAAGCAGGTCAAAACTAACAAAACAAAAAAAAAATTTAACGCAGAATATCTGACTTTATACTGTATTTCAGATAAACAGGTACGTTCACTTGACATGTTATTGAAATATCTGCAAACATTGTGGTATTTTTATGCTTTAGAAGAGTCAAAAACTTACATACAGCACATTTAACTAATGAAACCATATTGTAAAGTGGGAGCGAACAAACAGAAGTGTACTATGGGTAAAAAGTTATCATTAACACTTTAAGAAACTTTCTTTTTTCTCATTTAGCCTGTCCAGAGGGAACATTTGGTAAAAACTGCTCCTTCACTTGCAAGTGCAGAAACGGGGGCACCTGTGACCCGATTAGTGGGAAGTGCCGCTGCCCACCTGGAGTCAATGGAGACCTGTGCCAGGATGGTGAGTGACTGAATAAAATGAACACCTATCTGTGCCAAATCTGATGTTCAAATCACTGTTGGTATGTTAATATGACATAGTTAACGTTAAAATGCCCTTGATATGTTTTTTTCTAAATGTTATGTTTCATGCAGTGTGCTATTTAGCAGTTTTATGAATGTAAATGTTCTGCAATGTTTCAAAGATCTAAGCATGTTAAATGAAGTGTTTGTATTTAAAAGAAAGAACCATTTCTGAACTGTGTGTAATGAGTCATCAGTAGTTTGAGTTTTACTTTAAAGTAAACCTACAGCATATAGGTTTTTATAACATTTCAAGCTTTGGTTTGGAACTCTCAAACAGTGTTGCTGAGACCTGATTGAGTTTGGTTTGTATTGTCAACGTGTTGAGAAGTTTCTGTTTTCTGTTTGTATGCACTCAGTAAAGGAAAATCGATAAGGTAAAACTGACACCATTCTGTCTTTATGTTTTTGGAAATTTGGGTTAGACACATGCTGTAAGTCGTAGACCAATCACAACTTACTGGGCCGTTTATTTGTCCTCATTTGTAAGTCGTTTTGGATAAAAGCATCTGCTAAATGACTAAATGTAAATGTTATGTTGACCAATGACAGCAAAGTAGACTGTCAAAAAAGGTTAAAAGAGACCGGATCCTTGAATGAACCATTTCAGAGACTGAGAAAAAAAAGAGCAAATACTAAGATTTTTATTATGAGAAAATCAAAGCTATTCTAGTTATACAGTAGATTCATGTAAACCTATTATAAGTGTCCAACCAAAAAAAAAAAAAATTAAAACTATTAAAAGACTATAATAGGGGCACTTCAATCTTCACATAAAAGCTGAAAGTAATCTGTACACTTTGTTCTTTAGGCTGTCCGAAGGGAATGTATGGAAAGCACTGCAACAAGAAATGTAACTGTGCTAATAACGGCCGCTGCCATCGCACATATGGAGCCTGTCTGTGTGATCCAGGACTCTACGGCAGGTTCTGTCACCTCCGTAAGTCAGTAGTATTTCAGTGACTACAGAAGATGCTCCCACATTGTGTGTTTACCCAGGTAGGGCAGGTTCCAGGTCTAACATCATTCTCTGGACCTGAAACAACATTCCTAGCAGTCAAAGCTTTAATCCTGTTCCAAACCATAACCAGAGATCAGAGTGAAAGTTATTGTGGGGTTTAAAGGTCTGAGACCAAACATGAAAATGCTTCTTGTTTTTCGTCTTTAAGTATTTTATTTCTACTTATTAACAGTTTTTTTCAGTGGCTTTGGTGCATTTCTCACAACACTTTACATTTGCACAACAGTTTTCTCAAAACAATTAGTACAAACTGCAAAACCTCGTTGATAACCTGCAAAAGCGTGTCACTTGTTCAAAATGGATAGCTCATACCTCAAAAGCAAGTATTTATGTCAGTGAAAGTGTCAGTGTCATCAAGATGAAGAGTCCTGACACCATTGTTTATGAGCAAGATAGTCATATGGCTTTGTCATGTTTTCATTATGTCAGTTTACTCTGTTCATTTTTTGCAATGCAAAAAAATCAGATTTTGGTGACATTTCCTGAAAATGCTCAAGACAGCACTTTGTACTATTTGCACAGCCATTCAAAAACTACTGTAAAGTTAGACATCACTGCATTTACTGATGTATCTAAGTCCAACACACTGAATATGTATGTTTCACATTTTTATTGCATTTGCTCTTTACAATTCTAATTTAATTACAGCATTGTGCAAATGAATAAATACACCCTTATTTACAACAAACATAAGCCTCCTTTGGGTAGAGCTGTGCACAACTGTAAACAATATTGCGGTACATATTGGAACTGAACCAACAACATACATAAGTCTGTAAATCATTCATGAAATTGTTCAATTTTGAAGACATTTTCCAAAAAAAAAATATTGAAACATTTTATAAAATGTACATTTGACAGATTTTGACAACTAGTTCAACATTTTTGTATGTATAGACTCAAGTAATGAAATGAGGACTGTTAGTTTTATATGGAATGACTATTCAGCATTCACAAGTTTAGTTAATTTTGACTGACATGACATAAGCAAATGATAATGTTATAAACAGCAGAGAGTTGTGTGAAAGCAATTGATGCATGTCCAAAAGCATTTGCAATGTACGGAACCCCGGAAGGGACGTAGTGGAGGAGAAAAAAAATGGGTGGGTGAAAAAAAATAATGGGTGAAAGAAAAAAAATGGGTGGGAGGAAAATATATATTTCTAAGTTTTTTGCGTTCTCTCGCAAAGTTTTGCGTTCCCTCGCAAAGATGTTTTGCGTTCCCTCGCAAAGATGTTTTGCGTTATCTCGCAAAGATGTTTTGCGTTCCCTCGCAAAGATGTTTTGCGTTATCTCGCAAAGATGTTTTGCGTTCCCTCGCAAAGATGTTTTGCGTTCTCTCGCAAAACTGTTTCTCCACAAACACTTCCTGTTCACTTCACTCACGTAAACCCTCCCGTTTTTGCCGAAATTCTCCCATATTTTACTATTCTATCCCACTTTCTTTACTGTGCGCTGATTGTCGCCTTTCACTTTGCAACCTCTGAACCAGTGAATGCATGTTTAAGCGCTGACTGACAGACGCGCTCCATACAATAAACTGATCCCAGATCAGCGTCTGTACGCGCCATTTAAAGGGACACTTCTGTTATCAAACAAGTGCGCAGCAAATGAATCTCATGTTTTGTTTAGTTTGATAGAGGTGTCTCTGTAAGAATGCACAGATCTATAATGAAAGCAGTCCATTACTTTAGAAACTGTTTGTGCTCATTTAAGAGAAAATAAGCTGTTTAAAATAAAACATGCAGGACGGAGATGTTTCATATTATTCAGTGTATTTGTCTGTTTAAACATACACCCGCTCCTCTGTAAATGGCGTGTACATACGCTGATCTGGGATCAGTTTATTGTACGAAGCGCGTCTGTCAGCGCTTATACATGCATTCACTGGTTCATAGCATACGCACAGTAATGTAAAGAAAGTGGGATAGAATGGTAAAATACGGGAGAATTTCGGCAAAAACGGGAGGGTTTATGTGAGTGCAGTGAACAGGAAGTGTTTGTGGAGAAACAGTTTTGCGAGAGAACGCAAAACATCTTTGCGAGGGAACGCAAAACAACTTTGCGAGAGAACGCAAAACATCTTTGCGAGGGAACGCAAAACATCTTTGCGAGATAACGCAAAACATCTTTGCGAGGGAACGCAAAACATCTTTGCGAGAGAACGCAAAACATCTTTGCGAGGGAACGCAAAACATCTTTGCGAGGGAACGCAAAACATCTTTGCGAGATAACGCAAAACATCTTTGCGAGGGAACGCAAAACTTTGCGAGAGAACGCAAAAAACTTAGAAATATATATTTTCCTCCCACCCATTTTTTTTCTTTCACCCATTATTTTTTTTTTTCACCCACCCATTTTTTTTCTCCCCCACTATGTCCCTTCCGGGGTTCCGTAGTAATGTGTTGGAAGTAGGGCTGTCAAATGAATAAAAAATTACCGTGATTAAACACACTTTTTTTGTAATTAATCATTATTAATCAAGAAATGCCGTATTTATTACTGAAGTAAAAACACAGGCATATAAGTGCCATTTAAATTTTAAAACAATCCATGCCAATAACAAACAAAAATGCTTTCTATGATGGATTCTAAGTGGACTACAAACACACACACGCACGCATGCATGCATGCACACACACACACACACATAATGAGACAACATGCGCAGTGCCGGTGAGCAAGAGGGATCCCTTCAGATTCATCAACACGCACGATCGCAATCATCAAATTTGCTTAAAGCATTCTAAAGTATGGCTGTATTTAACAAGCAAGGATTCTGACAGAGGAATGTAAAACAGATGCTTTACTAAAGGGGGGAAACGCATCAAACTTAATGAAACATTTGAGGGACGCAGCTTAAGGGCAGAGAAATGTTTTTGACAGCTTGCGAATTCATCTGGCACTTTCATTCACATGGACACCAATACTCAGCTTTGATGATTAAAATAATACTGATCAAGAGTCGACCATGTAAACAGCGATTTTTTTTATTTATTTTTTTGATTACCTTAAATGACCACACCCGAAATGCGGAAGTTTTTCTTTCCGTTTGCCATGCGGTATCAAATTCCATTAAAACATCCTGAATGAAAATATGCTGAATGAGAGTGAACTGCTGAAACACCCGAAAATGCATGAAACTCTGGAGGAAATGCCATATTTCTTTGCCCGTTTAACAAACGCAGGGCCAGAGCAAGCTAAACTGGTGCTCTAGGCAAACGGCAATCACACCGTTTTATTCATATGGAAGGCCGAGGACCGTGAGGCAGGGGGTGGGTGTAGCAGATGAATGTGAGATCCAGGGGGTTTGCTCGCTATTCTGCTGCACAAGGCAGCCGCCTAGGTCGCCTCTATGGATGCGCCGAGCCTGAACACATATCAGCCACAACAGGAAATAAAAAAATGCAACTGCGTTATTTGCGTTATTTTTTTTTTAAGCGTTAAATATTTTTAATTAATCACGTGTGTTAACGCGCTTATTTTGACAGCCCTAGTTGGAAGGAATAAGAAACTGCTACTACGATGTGCACAAATGAGTTTTAAGAAATGGATTAACTGTTGTGCAAATGTAAATAGTGTTATGAGAAATGCACCAAAGCGACTGAGGAAAAACTGTAATACATATATTTTTAATCTGTTTTGACCCACAGTTTTCATCTTTAGTAGCGACAATATATTGCAAAAGAAATATTAAATGAACGAAAAAGTACTAATGCCATGTTTGTACTTTAGTTTATATGACTAACCCAGACAACAATTCATTTGAAACTTTTCATTTTGTCATCTGAATGTGATTCCAATATTTGAAATAAAACAACTGACCAATAAAAATAACAATAATAAAGCTAATATTGTTCCTCTTTACAATTAATGTTGTGGTGTGCCTTTAATTACAATTAGAAGAGAACTTGTTTAATGGATGGATGGATGGATGGATGGATGGATGGATAGATAGATAGGTAGATAGATAGATAGATAGATAGATAGATAGATAGATAGATAGATAGATAGATAGATAGATAGATAGATGATGATAATAATAATAATAATAATAATAATAATGTTATCTTTTTAACATCTGATGTTCCTCCTGATTGTTACAGAATGTCCAACACAATGTCTTTTCCAGCTTGCCCCAAGTGGTCGTATGGATCTGGCTGCTCATCCGAGTGTCAGTGTGTGCAACAAAACACGCTTGAGTGCCATCGACGTCATGGAACGTGTGTGTGCAAACCTGGCTATCAGGGGAAAACCTGCAACCGCGGTCAGTGCAAGAAGCACTAATCACTTGTTTAACAGCATGTGTGTATGAATTACAGTAAATATGCAAGAAGGAAATACTGTATGTAGGAGGTATGTATCACTGTACTGTATGTATGTAAACTCAAAAATGACCTTTGCTGCATATTCTTGTTTTAAATTAGTTGAAACAACACAATAATTAAGTTTTTTTTTTTTTTTGTAAAAATGATTAGGTTAACTCGAAGGACATAAAGGAATTGTATGAAACCCAGCATTTTTTACAGTGTCAGAAGTAAATATGTTCACAATAATTTGTCTTATGTTGTATCATTTGTGTTATCATTGCTTTTCAGAGTGTGATAGTGGATTTTATGGTCCAGGATGTAGATTAAAATGCCAGTGTCCAGCGGGAGTCTCTTGCCATCCCATGAGTGGGCAATGTCAGCGTCAGTGCCCAGCAGGCCTACATGGGGAGCACTGTGACCGAGGTGAGTTTTGCTGATGCACAAGATGAGCTTCCATAAATGAGATATATGGCCATCTCTGAGAGTCATTGTGTAAGTAATGCTGACTAGCGTTTGACAGTATAAATAACACAAGGAAGCCAGGCCAATACGCTTCTGCCAAACACTGGAGTACATGATGGAAATACCTTTATCTCCTGGCTTGTTGGTTAAGTGTGTTCCCTTAACAGTGATTTGATCCAGTATTTTGCTCAAATGAAAGATCTAAAATAAATTCTGAAGATCAGCATGTTACAAAACTGATTTAAATGGGGGGATTGCTTAAATAACAAAAAAAAATTCTTGTTGTTTTTTTGGAAAATGTGAACAGTACACAGTGTTAGATCCATGTACTGTACAGTGCATCTGGAAAGTATTCATAGTGCTTAACTCTTTAACTCTTTTTTTTTAATTTTTTTTTTACATTTTTTATGTTACAGCCTTATTCCAAAATGGATTAAATTCATTTATTTTCTCAAAATTCTACACACAGTACCCTATAATGACAATGTGAAAAAAAGTTTTTGAAATTGTAGCAAATGTATTAAAAAAAAAACCTGATAAATCACATGTACATAAGTATTTACAGCCTTTGCATTGACGCTCTAAATTGAACTAAGGTACATTCTGTTTCCGCTGATCATTCTTGAGATGTTTCAGCAGCTTAATTGGATTTCGCCTGTGGTTGTTTAGTTGATTGGACATGATTTGAAAATCCATACACATGTCTATATAAGGTCCCAGGGTTGACAGTGCATGTCCAAGCACAAACCAGGCATGAAGACAAAGGAATTGTCTGTAGACCTCCACGACAGGATTGTCTCGAGGCACAAGGCTGGGGAAAGTTACAGAAAAATTTCTGCTGCTTTAAAGTTCCAGTGAACACAGTGGCCTCCATCATCTATAAGTAGAAGATGTTTGGAACCATCAGGACTCTTCCTAGAAGCTGGCCATCTAAGCTGAGTGATCGGGGTAGAAGGGTCTTAGTCAGGGAGGTGATCAATAACCCGATGGTCACTCTGTCTGAGCTCCAGCGTTCTTCTGTGGAGAGAAAAGAACCTTACAGAAGGACAACCATCTGTGCAGCAATCCACCAATCAGGCCTGTATGGTAGAGCGGAAGCCACTCCCCGCCTGGAGTTTGCCAAAAGGCATCTGAAGGACTCTCAGACCATAAGAAACAATATTCTTTGGTCTGATGAGAATAAAATCGAAATTTTTGGAGTTAATGCCTGGCGTTACGTTTAGAGAAAACCAGGCTCATCATCATACAGTGAAGCATGGTGGTGGCAGTATCATGCTGTGGGGATGTTTTTCAGCAGCAGGAACTGGAAGACTAGTCAGGATAAAGGGAAAGTTGAATACAGCAATGTACAGAGACATCCTGAATGAAAACCTGCTTCAGAGTGCTCTTGACCTCAGACTGGGGTGACAGTTCTTCTTCCAGCAGGACAATGACCCAAAACACATGGTCAAAATATTAATGAAGTGGCTTCACAACAACTGGGTGAATGTCCTTGAGTGGCCCACCCAGAGCCCAGACCTAAATCTTATTGAACATCACTGGAGGATCTGAAAATGGCTGTACACCGTCGCAAAGAGGAATGGGCAAAAATTCCCAAAGACAGGCGTGCCAAGCTTGTGGGATGCACTGTATATCAGTTAAAGTGTTAATGCACATAACCAGCATAAGAGCCCATAAATTTCACTAGTTTCAGATCATTTTAAGGCCTCAGTAATATGTTAAAAGCATTCTGATAGGATACATGTATTTGCATCTGCCATGCAGTCATGTATAAAGCATATTCATCTGTCAATATCGTCATTCGTCATTGTAAAAACGATAGTGGAGAATGACATCAAATCAGATGGAGACCAACTGAGACCACATATAATAAGTCTTACAAATTGTACAATGGAGGAAGAACAGTGTACATGCGTCTGAATAGCTTGATAGAAAACCAATAGGATTTTTTAGGACTGTTGCAGTAATTAATCTCTTAGACCAAAAGTTAATTATTCCTAAATGTTCATCACATAAACTGCAAATGCGTGGATGACACATGCCATGAAGCATTTTTGTGTTTAAAAGGCATATAATAGACATCCAAACATAGACTACTCTCATCTAAAACAAGGCTACATTTTGGATGTCTAATAGATGTCTAACAATATTTCAAAATTAGACTAGTCAATGAAATAGACATGAATGACTGCACATAAAATCTGTCTAATCTATTTAATGACTGGTCTATTTTTGGATGTCTATTAGACCTCTTTTACACACAAAATCGCTTGGTAGAATCTACTCTTTAATTATTTTTTAATGTTATTCAATGTTATTCATGTCTGCACATTTGTGATCAAAATGATTTTCTTTTACTTTTCAGTACTAGCTAGAACATGTGGTAAAGGTCATTAAACATTCACTCTTTTCTTCAAAATAAAATTGTCATCTTACAATACTGACAATTCATGCTGTATTTCGTTCAAAAGCCTAGAAGAAGGTGACAAAGAGTTCAAAACCAAAGGTTGCCCTGCTGGAACCTGCACACTTTTATTTATGATCTCCGTGGCCAAATGACAGTCAGTTACTTGATTTGTATATATGCTCTTTTATGAGTATGAAATAAAACTGTCCTGCTGCCATGATGTTCAGAGCTCCAGCAGGAGTCTTCATGCCTGTGTCCAGTCCTCTTGGCGGGGGTATGGAAATATCTTGAATATTCTGACAGAAACACTGAGCTGGCAGTCAGATTTCACAACCTGGAAGTCATTAAACGATCAGAGTGCTACGTCTGCCATCAGTTAGGAACAACAGACTGTGAAAACGGTCGCTTTGGCTTGATTTTTTGTTTCACTTGCAGCCTCTGTGGTTACTTGACCTGTTCATTCATTACTCTAGATGATCACTAGAGAATCTGGCCAAAATAAAAACATTTTGATGCCTGAAAATTAAATGATTTAGATGCTCTTTGTGAGAATAATGTTAGTTGTTAGGTGTAATATTAAAAAAGAAAGTATTTTCCTGAATAGATTTGCATGTAAATAATTTAAATTTTGTATTTTGATTATTTAATTAATGAAACTGTGATCTAGAATCTGTATACATACAGTTTGAACAGTGTTGAAGAATTTACTTTAGAAGGTAATGCATTACAATATTGAGTTACTCCCCTAAAACATAACTAGTTTTATAGTAAGTAGTGCATTACGTTACTTTTGAGTTACTTTTGCGTTCTGACCTGGCTGAGGCTTGATCTCTTTTAGAATGCACATGTTTTTTTTTTTTCTTCTTTTTAAAATAGGGGAGCTCTACAATTAACAACACACTGTATAACCTTCATTTACCTGAAAAAAAAAAAAAACACACATCAAAAAATGAATGTAGGGTAATGTTACCTTCAAAAAACTTCCTGAGCCCAGAGCCGTATACAGATTAATGAAAGTTTAAAGCAGTGCGTTTGCTACTGTTGTATTTTTTTGTTATATTAAAAAGTAAAATCACTGTCCATTCTGGTAATCCTCTTTTCCTTTTCGTCCATGTGTTCAAATAATGAGAATATTTCCATTGCAGAATTGTAAGGCTCTGTTGTCTTAATTTCTGTCTGTTCCTGCATTCTCTTATTAAATGCAGGATTCAATGTGACTACCTTCATTTTAATTCAGTAATTTATTTTTTAAAAGCGAATTAAGTAAACTAAAAAGTAACTAAAATAGTATTACTTCATTTATAAAAGTAATGCATTACTTTACTTGTTACTTAGAAAAGTAATATTATTATGTAACTCGCATAACACTTGTAATGCATTACCCCCACACTGCATACTGTATGAATACAATTAGTTTTAGTTCATGGTGTAAAAAATATGCGTGAACTGTCGGTAGTCTACATTTTTAACATTAAATCTTGAAGATCAAGATCTGAGATCATGGCCCCATATTTATTATAATACAGTTTTTCTTGATTGCTTTGATGCAGCCGTCAACTGAAACTCCACATTTTCAAAACAGTTAACACACAGACCTAAACAGCGGGACTCATGGTCAAAATGACACATTTTGCTTGCAAAAGGCACATACCTTGTCAAAACATTTAAAATATGCAACAAAAGCTAGTTTTACCTTTTAAACAACACAACTTGCAAACAAGTATATGAGCTCTTTCAATTAATCATTACACAATGGACAACAAAATACAGAACTCAGTGTGAATCAGTGCACCATTGCTTGCCATTGTAGCCTATTGCCAATGCCATTTGTTGTCTTTCTAATTGGGCTGTCAAGTTTGCCTTTTTTGCAAAGAATTGAATCCAGAATAAGAAATGCTTTGATTAAATTTATTTTAAATTCATGACATTTTTCAAACTTTGGCTGAAAATTTAAATACTGTTAAAAAAAACAGACAAAAGTAATAAAATAATGTAAATATTAGAAAAACACATGTAAACCAATTTACTGTCAAATCTATTGGGAGTATAGGACATAGCCACTATTGACCTCCTCCATCCATGCTGGCACAGAACAACACAGACCTTCCACCGTTTATAATGTTTGCAGACTGATTACTAATTGAAGATTTGTGTAAAGGAGTGTCAAACCAGTGCTTCTGTGAATTCATACTGATCTTGGTTGTTTCTAATGATTAGGAATAAATGGTTACTGTTTGGTTACCATAGCTAAAACAATGGAGTTTGGACTGCTTAAATGACATCCGTGTCAACTGTTCTGAGAAATAGTGGGGAAAATGTGTCAACCCAGTCTTCTGCTCTGCTGGGATTGTGATAATAAAAATGAAGTGAAACCTAGTTTTTTTAACCAGGTCAAAGCAAAAAAAAAAAAAACTGTATTATAACAAATACAGGGCCTTGAATTTTTTTTTTCACAAAAAAATAAATAAATAAATAAATTGGAATGGAGAGAGAAAAGGATATAATAAGGTCAAATTTTAAAGAATAATATGAAAAATAATTATGTTTATTTCCTATTCAAGTTTTCCCTGCTAGGATGTGAAGCATCAGTCATGCAATGTTTGCTAAACATGTGGAGTTTGACTCTAAATCTGTTATAAAATACATTATTAAAAAAATATTTTCTGTTATACCCAAATACCCTCCGTGGTCAAGTTCAGATAAACGGTATACTCTTAATAACAGTGTACTGTTTTTTCAGTAAAAAAGTGTACAGTATAAGCTATTACAGAGTGCCCCATGCTTTCACAGAGTGCCCCATGGGACAGTTTGGAGTTGGATGCACACAGTTTTGTGACTGTAAGGGAGCTCCATGTAACTCAGTGACCGGGAAATGCCACTGTCCTGCAGGGCAGACAGGACAACACTGTGAAAAAGGTAAGAAACAAATATACTTTTAAATCATATAAACCCACAATCACTATTTACACACATTTATAAGAAGCAAAATTGTTTTGCATTTAATGACTTTTCAATCTGTTTGCTTTTGGAGTGGATGAGGTAGTTTAGAGAGGATAAATTGCTGTGTTTTGGAGGCCTATTATTAGCCACATTTTGCTGAGCCAAAGATCACAGACATAACCACGGTAATATATCCCTCCTCACAGGCCAATCCATTAGAGAAGATCTCTCTTAAATTCACAAGCACATAATGTGACACAAGGAGTGAAGCCATAGAGCTAGTTAACAAGCCAGAGACGACTATTAGCTGTTAACGAAGAGTCAGAGGCTTCCAGCTGAGAGTGTGTGTGTGTTTAAATGTGAAGTGTGCTGTGAGCCTGTCAGGACTCCCATGTTGATATTCCTGGAAATATGAATGAGCACATTATATAGAGCCTTCAAATTCAGCTTTTACTTCTTATCATGATTATTTGGTTATATCAGGTTACATATTCCCTGCACTTCTTGGCACAGCTGGCATGATGCTGTTTAATTTTACACTTTTAATAAAACTTACTTGAACAGGGTTTCTGCAGGGTCTTAAAAAGTGTTAAAATGTCTTAAATCTCAAAATCCAAAATTTAGGCCTTAAAAAGTCTTAAATTTACTGAAATATTGTGTTGTAGATCTTAAATCTTTTTTAAACAGGTCTTAATTTTCCTTTGTTCATGTATTGCTACCAAATCTGGACAAAACCCATACAATCACTAACAATCATCTCATCTAAACTTTTTATTTAAAAAAGGAAATTTTTAACTCTATTTATCATTATAGTTTTATTATTTTCCTTACAATAACATTTCTTTAAAAGTTCTTTACGTATTTACTGCTGAGGATCCTGACCTGGACAGATTGTTGGGCATAGATTTAGTTTATTATAGTTTTTCTAAAACTTTTAAAACATTTGTTCTTTTTTATTTTACAGAAAGTTTATCTTGAAAAAGTGTATGGATACAAGTAGAGCTTGCTTTTTTTACACAATGTTTAAAATATTTGGCTAATAAATAAAATTTCAAATATAAAATTTTTTACTATTAATATATTATTGTATTATTAAATGTAAATATTTCCCAGAGATGGGTTGCGGCTGGAAGGGCATCTGCTGCGTAAAAACTTGCTGGATAAGTTGGCGGTTCATTCCGCTGTGGCGACCCCGGATTAATAAAGGGACCAAGCCGACAAGAAAATGAATGAATGAATAAATGTAAATAATTTATTATTATTATTATTTTTTTTGATTGGGCAAATAAAAATATTTTACATCTGGGTCATTTGAAAAAAGCCTTTGCCTTTAGCCCTTTATGGGTCTAAAATTTCATTCATAATGGTTTTAAAAATGTCTTAAAAAGTCTTCAATTTAATTCTGAAACCTGCAGAAACCCTGAAGAATATAAGCTCATTATTGTCATATTTTAGTAAATCAAATTCGAGTAAAATTCAGAGTTAATTCGTAACAATGAGGAAAAAATATACAGTAAACATTCTGACTTACTCTGAAGTAAATTGTTGGAATGAAGTCAACTATGGGATATTAATTGATCATTGCTGTATGAGAATAGTTGAGTTTGACACACTGTCGCTATTGTTTTTAATTTTTTTTATGTACATAGCAGTTTTCAGAGATGATCAGGCCATAATAAAAAATAAGGTACAATGTCATTTTTACAGTCATCGTCATATTTATTTTATTTATTTTTTTTTGTTAATGGGCATTATTAATAACTAGAAATCATTTATGACAGAACATTGAACTATTCTTGTCAGTAGAAACTTCACAGCGGACACGAAATGTCTTTAGACGTTAATATTAGGTTAGATTTAATTCGTTAGTGTCTAAGGACAATGCTATTTAAAATGACGTTGATATTTGGTTGGTTTTGGGTTGTGTTGGAAAGTGGCCAAAATCCAACCTCGAGCCAACATCTTGAGCCAATGTCATAATGATGTCAAATACTGATATTTATTGGTCAGGTATGGCAACCAAAATCCAAAATCTGAAAGACGTCATAGTGGTAACGTCCACACAACGTCAAGCTGCACAACATCAATAGACGTTGATATTTTGTTGTTTTTAGGTTGCGTTGGAAGGTAACCAAAATGCAACCTCTGTCCGATGCTGGACATTGACATCGACCTGACATTAGGTTCTGACATGAACCCAATTTTCTTTTCATTTTTCAAACAAAATGCAATGTCCCATGACACTGGGGTAGAATGTCAATTAGATGTCATGTTGATGTCCTTTGCCTGCTGGGTTTAGTTTTTGTTAGCAGAACTTTTCCTGTCAGATTTCTGTGTATTCATCCTTTTAAAATAATAATTCTGATTTGCCAAAGCATTATTTATTTTTTAATTGTGAAAAAAGTTATTAAACTTAAAGATTGCTCACCAAAAAAAAAAAAAAAAAAAAAAAAAAACATTTTAACATCACTTGTAGGCTTATGTTTTCAGGGTTTGTTTTTACCTGCAGTGTTGTTTGGTTCCCAACAGTAAATGATGCCAGTTTTGTGTAGACTATTGTTTTAAGAATGAACTTACTCTATCATTTTTCACCTCTCAGAGTGTGAAGAGGGCCGTTGGGGTCTTGGCTGTGCAGAATCATGTCCTTCCTGTGACAATGGTGGAGTATGTGATAGACAAAACGGCACCTGTGTTTGTTCGCCGGGATTCATGGGAAATCTCTGTCAGAATGGTATAAAACTTAATCTTTCATTTTCTGTTATCTTAATTCATCATTGATCCTCTGTTCAGTACCAGACATCTGTCCTGAGTTTGTGGTTTTGTGTCACACTCTGTAAGAGGAAACATCTGTTGCATATTTCTGTTGTTCAGATGTCAGTTTTGCTTGCTTTTTAACTTATCTGTTGATATAACTGACACAGAGGCAAATTCTGTTCTATATCTCTTAGTCTGTCCAGATGGGCACTTTGGCCTGAGCTGCCTGTTGCGCTGCTCCTGTCAAAACGAAGGGAAATGCCACCATGTGACTGGCCTCTGTGTTTGTAAAGACGGCTGGATGGGACCTAACTGCGCAAAAGGTAAGGGCTGTTTCTCAATTCCAAGAATGCAGAGAACAGACTTGCGTTCTTGTGGAGACCGGTCTTGCCAGGTCACCTCGGAAGAGCGAACTCGGGAGACCATGAGAACAGAGAACGCGTCCTGTGAGAAATGAGATGCTGCGTTCTTCCTGATGGTCTCATGACACAGTTTTCATGCAGTTTTAACAGAAAATTCATTAAACATTACAGCATTTACACAACGATTTATTGGTTTTCCCCTTTTCACGATATATACTATGCATAAACACTATACAAATATAAGCACAATCCAAATAAAACTGATTTTAATAGGAATTTCAACAAATAAACACCTTTAATGTGTTTATGCCTTTATTAAGATTTTAATTGTGATAGTTTACTTTCACCATTTCATTCAGGGAAACTTCTGAGGAAAATAAGTTAAATGTCTGGACATGAATTATAAATTTATATAAATGGAACTTTCACATGTCCTCTGCTCTTGCCATCTTGAGTTTTGGAACTGAAGTTGATGATGATGTTACACGAGGACGCAAGATCTTTTAAGATATGTTAGAGCACAGGTGTCAAACTCAGTTCCTGGAGGACAGCAGCTGTGCACAATTTAGTTCCAACCCTAATTTAACACACCTGATCAAACTAATTGAGTGCTTCAGGCCTGTTTGAAATCTGCAGTTAAGTGTGTTGAAGCAGGGTCGGAACTAAACTGCATGGCAGCGGCCCTCCAGGATCTAGGTTTGACACCCCTGTTTCAGACCATTCACTATTAGCTTTGTATTATTAGCTTTGGCAGTGCATGAAAATCCAAATATCTTAGTACAGTATATCAGCTATTTCTGGAAATGTTCAAACCAGCACATCTGGTACCAGCAACCATGCTAAATTCTAAGTTACTTAAATGAAGCTTGGTCTGATCTTCAGGAGATCATCTGGACCGTGTCTTCATGCCAGTAGCTGCCATGCTGATTAGATTTTTAAGGGAAAAACAAAACAAAATGGAAATTATTAATTGGAAAAAGTGAAATGTTCAAGCATTTATCTCATTGTACACACTAGCCAAGACTTTACAATCACCTGCATAAGGTTTCTCCACATAAACGTTCCTTGTCCTCAGTGGATCCACTATGTGCAGTTTGTTGCAGACAATGAGTGCCAGGAAAAGCTCAAATAAACTTGTCTGCTTTAATAAATCAGCTCCGTTTACTTCACTCAAACTCCAGGACTCTCCGTAGTGTGAGCATCTCACAGTAGCGCACTGGGAATTAATTATTTGGTGTAATGGGGCATGTGTTTTCTGTGGCAGCTTGTGTGGCTGGACGATGGGGGCCGAACTGTGCCAACCAGTGTGACTGCAGGAGCAGCGTGGGCAGCTGTGACCCTGTGATTGGCCAGTGTCATTGTGAAGCGGGCTACATGGGACCACGCTGTGATCAAAGTATGAGCAAAGCATTACTGTTTCTGTCAGGGAGCACAAATCTAGCTTTTTCCCTCATGCTTTCCTTCTGTTTTCCAGAGTGTCCTAAGGGTTTCTTCGGCCAGAGCTGCCAGCACAGATGCCAGTGTGAGAATGGCGCAGCGTGTGAGCATGTGAGCGGTGCCTGCACTTGTTTGGCTGGCTGGACTGGGACGTATTGTGAAAAACGTAGGAGAAGTAGTTGGTTATGTGCTACCTCTCTCTAAAACTAGTACATTTAATCTGTTTGAGTTTACTCTATAGTGGAGAACAAAATTAGATCAATGAACACTTTTGATTCATTCATTTTCTTTTCGGCTTAGTCCCTTTAATAATCTGGGGTTGCCACAGCGAAATGAACCGACAATTTATTCAGCGTATGTTTTTACACAACGGATGCCCTTCCAGCTGCAACTCATCACTAAGAAACACATACACACTTATTCACACACACACTCATACACTACGGTCAATTTTAACACACCCAATTCACCTGTACCGCATGTCTTTGGACTTGTGGTGGAACCCAGAGCACCCGGAAGAAACCCATGTGAACACGGGGAGAACATGCAGAACATGCAAGGCTCGAACCAGTGACCTTCTTGCTGTGAGGTGAACGGGCTGCTAACTGCACCACCGCATTGCCCTTAAACACTTTATACTTTCTGAATAACTTAATTTTACAAAAATTGAAATTGAAAAAATTTAATTGTTTTACAAATGAATCAACAACAACAATTGCAACAAACATGCAGGCCAGACCCGTAAAGTCAAAGTTTTTTGACGCATTAGGGTCATTTGACATATTTCGACATTTCATTTTGATTAATTTTAGATTTGAGGGGATTATGACGGGGCAAAAAAATGAACAAAATCTCACTCATTCATTCATTCGTTCATTGTCCTTTGGCTTAGTCTTTATTTCAGAGCTCGCCATAGCGGAATGAACCCCCAACTATTCGGGCATATGTTTTATGCCGTGGATGCCCTTCCAGCCACAACCCTCATTCACACTCACACTCATACACTACGGTTCATCACATTTGGACTGTGTGGAAAACCAGAGCACCCGAAGGAAACCCACGCTAACACAGGGAGAACAGCCGAGACTCGAACCAGTGACCTCTTGCTGTGAGGCAACAGAGCTAATCACTGAAAAAGGTCCCCAACCCTAAATGCAATTGTCATTGGTTGATGGGATTGTACGAATTCATACGAATTAGCTACTAAATCAAAAAGTTACGAATTGCCATGAGATAGCGTTGTCCCATAACATATGGGATGTTGATCTCTGCTTTGTCTTTTTTTGATGTTGAAAATAAAACTCTACAGTTTATCAGAGTGACTTTTATTGAGATTTAGTAGTCTGAAACAATGTATTCTATAAGAAATAATATGTAAAGAATTAAGGCTGTAAAAAAAAAGTATACCGGCAGTTTATTACCAGCTATTTGCCATGTAGTTTACAATACCAACCCATATAATTTATTACTTCCAACTATTAAAAATGTCAGTAATAGTCATTTTATTGTGCAAATATTGTTGGAGGAAAAATCAAAGTCCCATAATGCAATTAAAAAGCATTAACAATCAACCACTTTTCTTTAGCGTACTTATAAACATTTTTTTTGTCTGTACAGATCTTTAAAAAAATTGTATGTGTTTTATTTTTTATTTATTGGACTATATACTGTATTCTTTTATTTTCTGTTATCCTGCCATGTCTGTGAAGCACTTTGGTCATTATTCATATTGTTTTAAGGTCCTTTACAAATATTGTTGACCTTGATCCTCACCTAATAAATGAAAAATGAAAAAATAAATAAATAAATAAAACAGGAATCACAGAATTAACCGAAAACTGTTCGTTCGTTCGTTCGTTCATTCATTTTCTTTTCAGCTTGTTCCCCTTATTAATCTGGGGTCGCCACAGCAGAATCAACCACCAACTTCCAGCTGCAACCCATTACTGGAAAACACACATACACTCTCATTCACACACATACACTACGGACAATTTAGTTTACCCAATTCACCTGTACCACGTCTTTGAACTTGTGGGGGAAACCAGAGCACCTGGAGGAAACCCACAAGAAAAAGGGGAGGACTGTGTGAGAACTGTCCAATCTTCTCACAGAAATGCCAACTGACCCAGCTGAGGCTCAAAACTGCAATCTTCTTGCTGTGAGCCGATCGTTCTACCCACTATGCTATTGTGACGCCCAAAACTGTTCATTTACAGATATATTTTCTTCAGAATATGCTACTTATATAATATGTTCATAAAACAGCTCTTTTACTCCTGTAAGCAAACTAAACAATGACCTCAAATATAGGAAATTATGAGCAAATCTGATCTCCTCTGTATATATTCATCTCAAACAGCATGTCCTGAGGGCTTTCATGGCTTGGAGTGCCAGCAGAAGTGCCAGTGCTTGAATGGTGGCCGTTGTCATCCCGTGACTGGAGGCTGCCAGTGTCCATCTGGTTGGGTCGGGCCAGTTTGCAATGCCAGTGAGTAATTTTACTGCGGTCAACATCCCATGACAGTCAACGGTAACAAGAAGCATGTTCAAAGCATTCCCTGTGTCTGTTGTGTAAGGTGAAAGGAAAGCACTAGAGCAGATGCTCTGAGTTTGTGTGGTGGTTTGCATGTGAAGTTATGAAACGTCATAATGTGTGTCTGCAGTCTACACTTCAGTCTTTCATGTGGAAACCTGGTGGCGTTGTGTTTCAAGATGTTTTAGTTCTTTCCATATATGGTCTCAGAATGAATGCATGTTGTGTTGATTATATTTTTCTGTTTTTATATGTGTCTCATCGTAGCGTGTGAAGCTGGCACCTTTGGGCCGGCCTGCAGTCAAACCTGTAGATGCCACAATAATGGCACCTGTGACCCTGCTGATGGACGATGTGAGTGTGGAGCAGGATGGACAGGCAGCAGGTGTGAACAAGGTAAGGTAAAACAAAAAACTCACCACTTTATTCATTATACACATTTTCTGCAACTCAGCAAGATTTACAATAACATTTAATGAAAAAACTGAGGAATGATAAAATTACTTATGACATGCACATTAAAAAAAAAAAAAAAAAAAAAATATATATATATATATATATGCTGACTTAATGTATTTATAAACATGCAGGAGTTGTCTTTTTTCTTATAGGGAAAATAATAGAACAGAGAGAAGGGGGTTAAAGCTGTAAAGCAATTACTAAATTTTATTGGAATTTAATTCATCTTAATTTGATTAGTAATGAATATATTTGCAGTTGAAGACTGAAGAAAATATTAGCCCTCTTGTGAGAGTTTTTAAACATTTTAAAACATAATAGGATTATCAACTAATTTCTAACCTTTTGTTTATGTCATGATGACAGTACATAATATTTTGACTAGTTATTTAGCAAGATATGAGTATCTAGTTTTAATGCTTAACCTGCCATGTGAATAAAGGCTTTTAAATATTAATATCTTAATAATAAATTATATCTTTTGAGTGCCTTGAACTGATTTTTGCTGTTTGTTCTGATGAATTCCTTGGCCAAAGAACACAGACACGCTATTTCATCTAACCCAGAGCCCTTTTTGTTTGATTTTAGATTTATATAATAGAAAACACTGTAAAAAAAATTCCCTTGCTCTGTTAAACATTACAAGAATTAACATTTCACAGGAGGGCTAATAATTTTATCTTTGCCTGTAAACTATTATTATGAAAAAACAACATTATTATACATTACATATTAATAAATGTAGAGAATACAATTGGAAAAATAAATTGACCTAGAATTGGAAAGTGGACTAAAAAATGGCATCATTGTCAAAAAAACAAAATCTGTTTGAAGATATCTGGAGACCTTTTAATAACTTCCTAAAATATAATGTAAATATTGGCAGTTTGCTACAACAAGAACGAGTAAGACAGTATCATGGTCTAAACATAGACTCAGAAAACACTCTTTACCTGATTTAAACATATCCCCTTTTTTCTTTTTTTTTTTTAAGGGAATGGGTTGATGGGAGGGAGAATAGGGTGTAAAATATTTGCTGTCTTCATGATTATTATTCTGTAACTGTGTAATCTGTTGTTATATGCAAACTAAAAAACTAATGAATATATTGTACAAATATATACAGTTGAAGTCAGAATCATTAGCCCCCTTTTGATTTTTTTTTCTCTTTTAAATATTTCCCAAATGATGATTAACAGAGCAAGGAAATTTTCACAGTATGTCTGATATAATTTTTTCTTCTAGAGAAAATCTTATTTGTTTTATTTCGGCTACAGTGAAGGCAGATATAATTTTTTTTAAAAACGTTTTTGGGACAAAATTAGTAGCTCCTTTAAGCTATTTTTTTTTTTCGATAATCTGCAGAACAATCCATTGTTATACAATAACTTGCCTTATTACCCTAACCTGCCTAGTTGACCTTAACCCAGTTAAGCCTTTAAATGTCACTTTAAGCTGTATAGAAGTGTCTTGAAAAATATCTAGTAATATATTATTTACTGTTATCATGGCAAAGATAAAATAAAATACTTGAATAAGCATTCCATTAATTAATTACATTTAATATTAATCGAATCTAACCAGTTAGCAGCTCTCCTCACAGAATCACACTCAGCTAAATGTATGTACAGTATACATCTCATTGTAGGTATTATAGGTAAGAAAGGTTTGTTTATTGTTTCCAGAGTGCTCAGCTGGATTGTATGGTGTGGGCTGCAACCAGCATTGCCTGTGTCAGAATGGAGGGTCGTGTGACCGAATCAGTGGCCACTGCACATGTGTCAGTGGGTGGACAGGAGTGGCCTGTGAATTGGGTAAAGCACAGACCCAACACACTGTAGTAACTCCAACAGCTGCTGGCAATCTTAAGATAAAACCTTTTGACAGATGCAAAGGTCACAGATCTCCTTTATCTTCTGTTGTGTGTTCAGAATGTGCTGCGGGACACTTTGGCATGGACTGTCAGCACAAGTGTGAGTGTGTAAATGGCGGCTTGTGTGACCGTCACAGTGGCAGGTGTTTGTGCCCAGCAGGTTGGACAGGCACGCACTGTGAGACAGGTAAAAGACATTGGAATGATCTGATCTGGCCATATAAATATATCACATACTGTATAATATATGCTTATTTATACTCTATATGTTTTGGTCAGCGTGCACTCAAGGTTTTTATGGTCTGGGCTGTAAGGAGCGATGCCGGTGTGATCATAACGCCGCATGCCACCACATCACTGGCACCTGCTTGTGTCCCGCTGGCTGGAGAGGGACTCACTGCGAAAAGGGTATTTATTTGTTTTTATTTTTTGTTAGATTGCCATCTGCTGGTGGCAGATTTTGTTACTTGAAATAAAACATTTAAATTAAGATTGAATTATTTTTATATATAAAAATAATCATATTTATATATTTAAAATTTGAAAAATGACCAATACAACATTTAACAAAAATAGTAAAATAAAAATAAAAAACAATAGTAAAAAAGTTATTTAAATAAGATTATAAATGTATAATTTTTTTCATTTTATTATGTTTTAATATATTATATCATATTATAAAACGATATGTTTCATATTTATAAAAAATAATAACAAAATGCCAATAATTCAAATGAAAATATAAAAACAATCTTAAATGTAATATATTGTATTATGTTATATTAGAAAAAAATAATTGTTAATACTTATAAAAAGTACAAATACAACAAACTGACAAACACTGAATTAACTCTTCTCTTCGTCGTAAATGTATTATATTAATAATAATAATAATAATACATTTTATTTATATTGTGCTTTTCTTATACTCAAAGCGCTACAGGCAAAATACTAGAACACAAGGCAAGCATATTATATTATATTATATTATATTATATTATATTATATTATATTATTCTTTAATTCATTTTCTTTTGGCTTAAGGGGTCTTACACCAGATGCGGCGGTCAGCGGCATGCATTTTATAATTCTAAACGTTTCAACATTCTATCAGGGTATGCACACCGACACCGCAAGTCAGTGGCTGTCCATGGCATCCAGTTACGGCTTAGGACACTGTTCTTATTTCTGCAACGCCACAGAGCGCCATCTGAATAGTTTAATTTTAAATACATGCGAATGTGCATGTCTGGTGTGCGATACTTCCAAAATGTGAGCGCCTTGTTGCGGCGCCGAGCGGCGTATCCGGTGTGTGACCAGCTTTAGTCCCTCTATTCATCAGGGGTCACGACAGCAAAATGAACCGACAATTTATCCAGCATTTGTTTTACGCAGCAAATGCCCTTCTAGCTGCAACCCATGATTGGAAAACACTCATTCACACACATACACTACAGACAATTTAGCGTACCCAATTCACCTATATCACATGTCTTTAAATTTGTGGGAGAAACCGGAGCACCCAGAGAAAACCCACACGTACACAGGGAGAACATGCAAACTCCACACAGAAATACCAACTGCCCGAGGCTCAAACCAGCGACATTCTTGCATTTATAAAACATGACTAAAGCAACAGATCAAATAAAACATTAAAATCAAATGAAAAAATATATATTTAAAAAGAAAACTTGATCACATGCATTTGTGACTCTTTCAGTTTGTTTACCTGGTTCTTATGGGAAGCGTTGTGCTCATCGATGCCAGTGTCCTCATGGAACCTCCTGTAATCATGTGACTGGACAGTGTGGTTGCCCAGCGGGATTGACTGGTAGTGGCTGTGAGCGAAGTGAGTGATCGCCTCATAATCTCATTGCACTCATGTGTTCAGTGAAACAGTGATTGTGTTGTGCCCTGCAGTGTGCCAGTCAGGTACGTTTGGGGTAAACTGTAATCAGGTGTGCCAGTGCTCTGAGCTCAACCAGCTCTGCCACCCTGTCACTGGTGTCTGTTACTGTGCTCCCGGATACTATGGCAGCAAGTGTGAAACAGGTGTGTATTATTTTGTTTTGTTTTATTTTTATTCATTCATTGATTTTCTTTTCGGATGAGTCCCTTTATAAATCAGGCGTCGTCACAGCGGAATGAACCGCCAACTTATCCAGCATATGTTTTACGCATGCGGATGTCCTTCCAACCGCAACCTAACATTGGGAAACTTATTTTATTTTAAGCAGTTATTTTTTCTCTTTTAAATTTGAGTAACATAAACATTTTATTTTCTAGTTGTAATATATTATTGTATATTTTATAGTTATGTTTTTGAGTGAAGCTTTTTTGTTTTATTCTGTAAACTACTCATGATATTCCTTCCAAATGTAAAATAAAGATGCTGTTGTTTAGAGCAGATTTTTCTTTTGCATTTGATTATTAAATAAGGAGCCATGTTTCATTTTTGTGAATGTTTTAACATCAAAGGATTTAATTTTTGGTGGAATAACCCCAATTTTCAAGCACTACATCTGAAAAAACAACAACAAAAAAAACATGGCTAAATAACAATATACTGTATATAGGTCTATATTTTTATTTGTGAAAAATATTATCAGGTCTCATAAAATAAACACATATTAACATAGAGGATTACTTTACCCATACTTCATATGGGCATATACTGTACTGTATGTACAGTGCTCGGCATATTGAGTACACCCCATTTTGAAAAAAAATATTTTTCTCCATTTCTTTGTAAATATAATCAATGTATTTTGGTGCATTTAAACAAAACAGAAATTGAGAGATAATACAATTAAATTCAAGCAAAATATTGAAAAAACCCTACAAGATTTCAACTAAATTTTTAACTTTTTTTGTTTCTCTTGATTTTTCCTTTTTTAAATTTGTATTTCATAGATTTGTATAACATAAATTTGAGTGTACTAATTTTTCAAAACGTTATTCTAAGTTATTTTGTTAGATAAGCTCCATATTTGGCTTCAGTACTGACTAATCTAATGTATATGCATAAATATAATATTGTATAGCTTACTATTAAAAATATGAATTTAAAAAATAGATTTGTGAGGGTGTACTTATATATGCTAAGCACTGTATTTAAAAAAAAAAAAAAAAAATATATATATATATATATTATGCAACTCTCCTTCAGTTGCGGCATTATTGGCACTTTAAAAACTGACACTTTAAATGTTTTTATCAAATACAGTATTTCTTGACAAAAGTATTGGAAGATGTTCAAGATCAAATAAGAGAATTAATGTGTGAATAATACAAATATTTTAATTGAAATTTTTTACTGTATGTAACTGTCAAATAAGCAATATCTGTCTACCTCTCTATGTAGCATACATACAAATTTACATTCATTGATACATTCATTAAAAAAAAAACTCAACTATAGTCTATTGTTGTTGTAGAATGTGAAGCGGGCCGTTATGGACCCAACTGCGAGCAGGAATGCCAATGTCTGAATAACGGTGTATGTAAAAGCAGCACTGGCACCTGCAGCTGCCCACCGGGATTCATCGGACCAAACTGCAACATCAGTGAGTCACACTTGCACACTTTTCATTCATTATACTAAAACAATGCCAGTACAGTGTTTCTAAAATGGATAGCTCACCCCAAAATTAAAATTTTCTTGTCCTTAGGATATCCAAGATGTAAAGGTGCCTTTTTTGATTAATAAATATTTTGGTCCCACTTTATATTAAGTGTCCTTAACTACTATGTACTTATATCAAAAAAATTTATACAATGTACTTACTGTGTTTATAATGTATTTGAGAACACTTGTGGTGCTTTTGAGTTGGGATAGAGGTTGGGTTATGGACAGGTTTGGTGGCATGGGTAGGTTTAAGGGTAGATTAAGGTGTATGGGATGGTCAACAGTGTATTTACAAATGTAATTACAAAAAGTTAACTACAGATGTAATTACATACATGTATTTAATCAACCGTAAGTAAACAGTAAATACATGTATTTACACAATAAGTACATTGTAACAAATTATTAAATCCTATGTAAGTACATATTAGTTAAGGCCACTTAATATAAAGTGGGACCAATATATTTTTTTTGCTGAAACTGTGGTCCTAGGGCTTATTAGGTTCAGGAACAAGTTAATTTGTCACCTCTGAAATCTGATCTGGCACCTCATTTTAACCATCCCCCTCCTCACACGCATTAGTGTCCCACCAGTTCTGATATACAGCCTTATTGCTCTGCTATGCGTGTGATATTGCGTTTATACAACAGTTCGATGGCATAATCATTTATATAAAAAAGAAAATCAAACACAGAGTCTAAAAATCCTTTTGTATGAGAAACTACTTTCTTCCGCCATTTATTTATATTAGCAGCTGACGTCAGAACAGCAGAAGCCGTTACTAATTCACCAACATTACTTTAGATCTAGTGTTTGAACGATTCTCTAGCGTAATGTCTAAAGTGATGACAAAACAGCTGATTTTGCTGACATTTTAAGATTATAAGGCTGAACGTCTACAGAGATATCTCCTTTCAGTCTACAATATTTTTCTGTTGCAATCAGGATATCACAATAATTAATCCAGAAAAAAAGCAGTGCAATAACTACCAGATTGCTGTTGTGTTTGCGCTAAGGAAAAACACTAAACACATGCAGGCATTTCTTCTTTCTTTCTGCCAAGACAACATACATTCCTGATATACGAGTCCCATTTCAATACACTAAAATTATATGGTATAAATACAACACTACAACATACAAAAGAGAGAGATCGACATAGAATATCTCTTACCAGTTTAATAATGAAATAAAATTTCATTATTAATAAAGTTTGATCATCTGTAGTTAGAAATTACGCTGTTTTATTATTCTTATTAAGGGCTTATTATGCGGCCTCTATTTCCATCTTGTGGGTGAACAACATCAACCGTCTTTGTTCAAAGACAGGCTAATGGCCGCCGATGTGCTTTCTCTCAGAAAATATCAATATTTTAAAATAGGCACTATCCTTATAATGAACTGCATAATTGCACTCTAAATAACTATACTATCCACTAAAAAAGCCTCAAAAGTACATTATGTTGCCTCAACAGCAGTAATATTTGTCAAACTGTAGCTTGTCCTCAGCTTGTTGTATGTGGGCAGAGTAATACACAAGGGAAAAGAGGCTGGTCGAGTGCTGTTACAGGCAGAATATCGCACAACTATCAGCCAGTCAGATTCAAGAACCAGAGAGAACCGTTGTATAAAAGTTATTATATAACTCTTTTTTAAAATATTTTTTATTCGAGATGCTCATGGTCTAATCCAATTCAATGATTTATGCTAAGCTAAGCTAAAAGAGCTCCCACCAGACACAGATATCAGACTGAATGCTTTCAAAAATGGTTAAACTCAACTGTTTTACTCTCAGTGGCTCAAAAATTGAGCCTATTTGCCCATAAAGTGGAGTGTCTCTTTAAGAAAGTGGAATGTAATGCGTAATCTGTCTCTCTGTTTCCAGCGTGTCCATTAGGGCGTTATGGTCAGGACTGTTTTGGAGTGTCTCTGTGTGGTGAAGGGGCTCGCAGTGACCCTCTCACAGGCAGATGTGTGTGCAGGGCTGGTCAGCGTGGACGGGACTGTGGGAAAGGTCTGGCTGTGAGTCTGCTGATGGTGCTTTGGAGAATAATGGGATATGGAGTGATGATGTGCTTGTGTTGTGTATGTGTGTATCAGGCTGTGCTGAGGGCTGGTTTGGAGAGAATTGTGATCAGCGCTGTAACTGCAGCAATGGAGGAGTGTGTGACGCTCTTACAGGACACTGCAGCTGTACACTGGGCTGGACAGGAGACACCTGTGAGGAAGGTCAGAGCTTTTGACACTGTTTAACCAAACATAAGGATCCTGCTACTGTCACAAACACTTAAACATCAATAAGAACACGTTAATATAAAAATTAGAGCCAGACGAACCAGACAAATAATTTAAATTTTCTTAATAAATCAAGTGGCTAAAAAAAATAAAAAACAAAATCTTAAATGCAGGGCACTCAAAGTAAGTGAAACAAATAAAAAAAAACCTTTATTGTTAGTGAGGCTAGCAGGGGGCGCTCAACCTGTGGTCTGTGTGGGTCCTAACACCCCAGTATAGTGAAGGGGTCTCTATACTGCTCAGTGAGCACCATCTTTCAGATGAGATGTTAAACCGAGGTCCTGACTATCTGTGGTCCTTAAAAATCCCATCATGGCTTCCTAACCATGCCCATATCATAATTGGCTTCATCACTCTGTCTCCTCTCCACCAATCAACTAGTGCGTAGTGTGCAGTCCGGCACAGCATGGTTGCCGTCGCATCATCCAGGTGGATGCTGCACACTGGTGGTGGATGAGGAGATTTCCCCCATTGTGTAAAGCGCTTTGAGTGACCAGAAAGGCGCTATATATATATATATATATATATATATATATATATATATATATATATATATATATATATATATAAGGAATTATTATTATTATTATTATTAATATTATTTTTAACATGGCTATTCTATAAAACAGCACCTACGTGTTTCGGCACACTTACCTTCATCAGGGTAAGAAAGTTCATGTGCGTCCGGAGTTTAGGAGTTTATTTGAACACTATAGTCACATGACTCAACTGAACATCCAAACAATACAGAAAAGGATATATGGAACACGAAGTCAACTTAACAGTCATCATTAATTCAGTAAAGAAAGAGAGAGAGAGAAAAGTGAATAATCATAAGTATTATATAATAGATTTCCAAAAAATACAACATTAAATGTATATACAAAAGAAACCATAGGAAATACGCATATATAAGTAAATACATGCATATACATACAACTACAAATACATACATTACATACATACATACAATAACAATGAACTACTGTATTTTTGTTTACTAATGCCGAAGATGAAAAAGTACTGTAATGTATTGTTTACTGTTTGTTCATGGTAATATATACTTTATCTATGTGTCCCATACTGTAAGGGATTTGCATTATATGTTTTTTTTATTAAATCATTGAAATATGTACAGTACTGGTAAAAAGATTTGAAACAGGTTGTTGAAAAAAAGCAATTAAAACAGAAACTTTATAAAATATCTGTTTTCTAATAGACATTTTGCTCACACTTTGTTTACATGGCTACAATTTAAAAATGTATTTTACTGAGTAATAGGGATTAGTTACATGCAGTGGTGGAAAGAGTACTGAAAAATCATACTTAAATCAAGTTAAATTACCATTACTTGCCCAAAAATGTAGTGCAAGGAGGGTTAAAGATCTGGTGTAAACATTACTCAAAATATGTGTAAAAGTAGCCCTTTTAAAAGTACTCAAAAGTAGCGAGTAGTGAGTATTACACAGTAAAAAGTTGATGTGTTTACATGCAGTTTGTGCAACGAAATGTAAATGTAACATTCTGTAGTGCATTCAGTGATCTTCCTATATCTTCCTTCATCACCTGCAACCTTCTTTCCATTGTTTGTTTGTTCTGCCCTTCCTTCCTTCATTCATTCGTTTGTTCGTTCCTTCATTCATTTGTTCCCTCCTACATTCCTCCCTTCATTCATTCGCTCATTCGTTCATATTTTTTTCTTCATTCATTGGGTCCTTTGTTCATTCATTCATTCATTCATTCATTCATTCATTCATTTGCTTATTCCTTCCTTAGTTTGTTCAGTCCTTCCTTGAATCCGTCCTTCATTTATTAGGTCCTTCCTTCATTCCTCCTTTCATTCATATTCTCATTTATTCATTCGTTCATAATTCATTTATTCATTAATTTTTTTGCTCGTTTGTTCATTCATTCATTCATTCATTCATTCTTAGTTTGTTCAGTCTTTCCTTGAATCCTTCCTTCATTCATTTGGTCCTTCCTTCATTCCTTCTCTCATTCGTTCACTTATTTATTCATTCATTCATTCATTCATATTTTGTTCCTTCCTTCATTAGGTCCTTTGTTCATTCATTCATTCATTCATTCATTTCTTTGTTTGTTCAGACCTTCCTTGAACCCTTCCTTAATTCCTTTGGGCTTTCCTTCATTCCTCCCTTCATTCGGTCGCTCATTCATTCATTTATTCATTCCTTAGTTTGTTCAGTCCTTCCTTGAACCCTTGCTTCATTTATTTAGACCTTCCTTCATTCCTTAATTTGTTTGTTCATAATTAGTTCCTTCCTTTATTAGGTCCTTTGTTCATTCATTCGTTCAATCATTTCTCCATTCCTTCCTTCCTTTCTTAGTTTGACCATTCATTGGGTCCTTCCATCCTTCATTAGTTTGGTCCTTCCTTCATTCAGTCCTTCCTTCGTTTGATTTCTTGATCAGTCCTACCTTCAATCGGTCCTTCCTTCCATTTTTTATTCCTTCCATTTAGTGATTATTTAAGGCTGTTTGGTGATTTCAGTCATCGTACAGTCAACATATATCATTTTCTCATCAGTGACATGCAGTCTATGAACAGTCTCTGGGTCATTGCGTGTAAAGATTTTGGAAATTTTCTTGGACATTTTGAATTCTTCCAAAAGGTTTGCTGCATTTATAAATCACACTTGTCTTGAGGTTGTTCAGTTTGATGCAATTTGGTTTCTATCTGCGATTTGATTGGACAGGAATCGCAGGAATGATTTTTGTACTTGAGCCAATCACTATAGACAAAAAAAATAAAGTAATGACTGCTGGTAGAAGGAAAGTAGTGGAGTAAAAGTACCGATACAGCACTAAAAATGTACTCTAGGGTGAGTAAAAGTACTTAAAGCTACTTAGCAAATTACAATTATTGAGAAAAACTACTCAATTACAGTGATTTAAGTATTTGTAATTTGTTACTTTACACCGCTGGTTACAGGAGCTTACTGTATGGTTGGGATTATAATGTAGGTTAGGTTTATGTCACCTTAAATTAAAGTGTTACTAGTACTACTACATTTTGTATGTATGTAATTCATTTCTGTCATGTCAAAGCTTGCTTTAATGTCACATGATACTTCAGAAATGATTTTTTATATGCTGATTTGCTGCTTTATTATGAAATATTATTTTTGCTGCTGGCTAAATAAATGATTTTATGCTGTATTATACAAACAAATAAAATGACAATAGAACTTTATTAATAAATATCTTTTAGAGTATGTTATTATATTATAATTATATTATTTTATTCCATAGATTTTATTCCAAAACAATCTATTTAAAAAGTGCAGTGTGGCATCAAAGGATTGTGTATACTAGAAAAAAGAAGGAAAGAGAAAAAATGAATTAACAGTCTCTGTTGTGTTGATCAGTGTGTCCCAGAGGACGGTATGGTTCAGACTGCAGTGAAGTGTGTGACTGTAAGAATAACAGCACATGCGACCGAGTGACTGGCGTCTGTCTCTGCTCTCCAGGTTTCTACGGACATCTATGTCAACATGGTGAATGATAATAATTACAAAAACTCACTGACTGTTTCAATGATTTTTTGTCATACCCATAACTTTAGTACATTTTTATAAAAACTGTCATTATTTATTGTATTGTATTGTATTGTATTGTATTGTATTGTATTGTATTGTATTTATTTATTTATTTATTTATTTATTTATTTATTTATTTATTTATATTTTTATTCAAAGCATGTCCTGTTGGCTTCCATGGTCATCGTTGCCAGCTTCTGTGTGACTGTGGTGCAAATGCACCTTGTGACCCTGAAACTGGCCGATGCCTCTGTCCTGCAGGATACCAGGGACTCCGCTGTGAGAGAGGTGCAGATGAGCTCTCAGACAACCTTTTTACTTGATATATATGTGTTTTATAAAGCAGTGAATTAAAACAGTTATTCACCATTAATTAAATATAAAATAATTATGTGTTTTTGTGTTTTAGAGGGCTGTATTAATTTTAAAATGTTATAATTGTGTGATAATTTTACATTTTTATAGATTTGAAAGCTTCATTTTCTGGATCATTATATATAAACGAATATAAATATATACATACATACATTCAGTACATACATACACCGTAAAAAATACTGGTTGCCCTAAATTTTTAAGTTAAATTTAATTAATCCAAGGTCCACACAGAATCTGTGCACGCAGATTTGCACAGATTTTTAACATCATTGAGTCTATGTATTTACTTGTGTAAATGTGTGTACATTTATATTTATTCAGTTTTTAAATTTATTTTACTAATATTATTATGATATAATAATAGTAATATTAAAATGTTTATATAATTTATTTACAAGTCTTATTTTCTGTCTTTAAATAGATATATTATATGAGAAACTGGCTTTATTTACTAAATTAGTAGATCTAATAGGATTTGCATTGTAAACATTAAATAAAAGTTAAACATGTATTATTTCCTTATGTCATAAACTAAGTTATTAGTTATGTTACTCCTAAAATCATTTAGCATAAATCCGCAGATTTTTTTTTTACAAAATTCTCCACAGAAATAACAAAAAAAATATCCGCAGATTCTGTCCTTCTTATGAGTCATTTGAACTTACATTATGCTAAACTGACTTAAAAAAACTGCGTAACTTATAAAAGGAAGTTAGAACATGAATAACTTTTAATAAGTTACAAATAACTATAAAACGTACGTTTTCATGACTAAGTGATCATGTCATTCTTTACTGTGTACATACAGTATATAAACAAAGAGTTTAGATGCCAAAACCTCTCAATGCCACTTGATATTTACTTCTAAAATTAGCCTCTTGTAGGCTCAGAGATGTCACTTTTATAGTGCAGAATAAGTTCTTTTCATTGCCTTTAAAGTGAAATAACTAAACATAAACACAGGAGGCTGAGAAAATGCTTGTGCAATTGTCTTCTTGATATTCATAACCTTTTATAGTTAAAAAAAAAACAGAATTAGTCTGCAAATATATTTGTAAAACAGAAATACTCTGCTTCTCTGAATTGATTTATACAGAACTGTTAAAGTTTTGTGCAATATTTAAGGCAAGTATATTTTAAAGTACCTGTAAATTGCCTAAACATGAAAAATAATAGGATACCTTACTTTAATTGAATAACTTTTCAGCTGAGAAAAATGTTCATTTTAGGAGAAATGTTTAGATGGCATTTAGAGCTTTTTGCATCTGAACTCTTTAAATACAAATACAAGCATACATACAGTACATGCACACATACAAACATAAAGCTTATTTATTCAGCTTCCGTATTTATTCAGCTTTGAGATGTAAAAATCAGATTTTTTTTATCATAACTTCTAGTTTTTTGTGTTCGAGAGTTACACACAGTATATAATGGATTTGTATACATTGCATCATGTGTGTGTGTGTGTGTGTGTGTGTGTGTGCGCGTGTGTGTGTGTGTGTGTGTGTGTGTGTGTGTGTGTGTGTGTGTGTGTGTATATGTGTGTGTGTGTGTGTGTTTCAGAGTGTGAATTGGGCACATTCGGGCCTGATTGTGTCCACAGATGTGACTGTGATGGAGACACCCCATGTGACCCTATTAATGGCAGGTGTTTGTGTGCACCTGGAAAAACAGGCTCTCGCTGTGACATAGGTCAGTCTTCCTCCAGATGTCTTACAGTTGAGCTTTTCCTCAGTCACACAGTCAATCTGTTCTTTTTTCTGCATGCATCAGGCTGTGGAGTGAACCGATTTGGACCCGACTGCTCACAGAGATGTGAATGTCTGAACGGAGGTCAGTGTGATCCCCGAAACGGCCGATGCACGTGTCTGAACGGCTGGATCGGGCCCAGCTGTCAACAAGGTACTTTTACTACTACTGCATCACACTGAGGTTGCCAACCATCCATTTATTGGCTGGGACGGCCCAAATATTGGTCCTAATTGATTTGTCCTCTATGCAGTCTTGGTTAGGTTACTTAGAGTCATTAATTACTAATTACCATATATTAATTATCATAATACTCACCATTGTGAACTTTATGCCAAAGCTGAATGGCCTTCTCTGAATGTAAGAAGGTGCACCCACTGGATGACTCTGGTCTACAAGGCTCTTCTGGCACTGGTGCCTTCATAAGTATGTTCAATTCTTCATAAGTCAAAAAGCCAGTATGCCCAACGTTTAAGTGAATCTTATCATTTGACTGTTCCTCGGGTCGAACTGAAATAGGGAAGCGAGCCTTTAGTCATGCCACCCCCTCATCCTGGAATACTCTTCAGTCGGAACTAAAAATGTCTAAGCCCAATTACATCTTTTCGCTCTCTCCTTTTAAACAAACAACAACAGTCTATTTCTTAATGTATGTATTTTTAACATATTGTAATGTGGTAAAGCTGATCTCAATGGGTTTTTTATTTGATTAAAATAAGAAACGCACGCGATCACACACACATACACACACACACACACACACACACACACACACACATATATATATATATATATATATATATATATATATATATATATATATATATATATATATATATATATATATATATATATGTATCTCGGTATATTCCATCAGTAAAAATCTCTCTTGTCTAAATCTTGAGTAAACGTCTGTACATATTGTGCTATTGTACCTGGGCTTCATTCAGTATAATCTTGCATATGTTGATTTTATCTTATGTGTAGATTATATGACAAACTCAAACACCGACCATGACAGAGAGATACTCATTCTTCCTGATGTATGAAATACTGGAAGAGAATCTAAAAGAAAATCCTGAATATGGAACCCGTTGTCTTCAGAAAAGTTGAGATTTTATGTGATTTTATCTGTGTATAATGCTTATTAAAACAATAGCGCAGTTGCTTCAGTACAGTAATCAAGTAAGCGTTGTTTTGCTTCTGTTTTATGAGCGCCCCCTGCTGGTAAAGAATAAATAAGCATTTTTTATTTTGTACAGGAATGTTGCAAATATGGTCAGATCGTCTTTAAAATATATTTTAAAATGATACAATTTAAGTGAAATCACTAACTGCCCAAACTAATATGCTGTATAATTTTTTTGTTTGGATCATGATTACAGTGCAGCCATTGCCTCTAGTTTGAAATCACTGCAGATTGTTTAGTCTGAGATAAACAAATATGCTACTTTTTCTATGCTCATATTTATTTACTATATTATTTTTTGATTATTTCTATATTTAAAAAAAGAATGTAAAAAAAGCATTGAAATGTAATTTTGCTTTTAGTGTGTGGATGAATTTGAAAGTAAGTGAATTTGACAAAGTTGGCAACCCTAATCCACACTTTCCCACTTCGCAAAGAATCTCAACGGGCGCCTTGATGTCAAAAAAGACGTCAGAAATGCAAATTAATTTGATGTTACTTTCACATCCATTTGACAGCCACACATTGATGCTCCTTTGACCACCAAAAAGTAAAATAAGTTGTATCCATCTGAAAGCTTTAACTCCAAATTTACACTGGATTTTGTATCCCTGCAATGTATGTTAACTAATTGTTAACTTATATTGACATCCAACATTGGCATCAAGAAAATCTTTTTTGCAGTGATTTTTTTGACATCAAGGTAGTCATCTGACATCAGAGCGAATAGCATTTTTGATTTTTTTTACCCTTTTTTTTCTTTTACATTATTTGATGTCATTTTAAAATAAACATGCCCACTGGGGTAATTCTCGTGTTTGTTGATTACAGGGCTCCTGTCTGCTAGCAAAAGTAAAAGGAAGGACTCGTCAGTATAGCTGTGTTGCCTATGCAGTTCAGTAACACAGACTGTAATCTGAACTGCCTTGAATTTGCAAGTAGACCTTTGACTAACATTTTAGCCCAGTAGTGTTTTTTTTCTTCAGATCTTTAAATACAAAGGTCAACCAATTTTTCAAGTGACTGACATGGACAAGCTCTTGAAGCAGTTTAGATGGATTAACTTCCATTTATGATCATAAATGATCAACTTTTTCATGGAAAATTGGAAATCCAACGTGAAGGTGACTTTTGATATCAAACATCTCCTGGATGAGGACATACGCAACCTTTTTACGATTTTTTTTTAACTGATTTTAGCAATATTTGTTTTATGAATATAATAATTGTAAATAAATAATGCCATTCCTACAACGTGATCCTAAAAGATCCTGTGCAGTTGTTGAAAGATAGTTTGAGTATGTGCACTGAAAACAAAACAAAACTGTGGTTTAGATATCATTTTCATTCCGAAATTAATAGTAAGTTTCTTGAATAATTTCTGAAGAAATGGCATGTAATGCTGAAATAAAAATGGCATTTTTGCAGTAGAAAGACAGAAATGGTATTTTCATGTTACCCAAAATGTTTGTTTACTTTAAAAAGTTTTTTTGTACAATATGTCAATTGTCTTGTTTCATTCATGATGAACTTTTTAAAAGTAGCATTTTCATTAGGAATATACAGTGTGTGCACAAAATTCAGTGAACATGTTACTTGGTGTATAATATTTTTGTTGATATACGTCTGTAGAAAAAAAAAATACAGAGACCATTTGACAGTTCTCAGAGCCACAACTGAATTCATTTGGTATTGTGTTTTGAATAAAATCTAATTATTTGTTTTATTCTTCCATATTTATAATAAAATATTTCACGTATTCCTCAAACAAATTTCAAACAATTTTATAACTATAATTTTATAACCCCCCCCCCCCCATTTACACTGTTATTATGCTATAGATTTAAAAAAAAAAAAACTGTGCAAAAAAAAAAAAAAACAAGATTACAAAGGTTTTCATATGCAAATGCTTCTGTACAATCTTATTTTTGTAAATTCAGGATCATTCTGTAACAGATTTATTTTTGTACAGTACTACATCAATGCAATATGCAAATGAATAATTTGCATTCTTGATGCAGATTATGAGCTCAAAGGAAATGTGTATTTCAATATTTCTGCAGGAAAGCCAGGCCAAAGTTTTTAAGCACTTATAGTCTTCTTTTAATATTTTGTTCTTGTAATAGTTAAACGTTTTTTCACAATTAAACAATTTGTATTATGTTTGAGATGCTCTCTGGTGGATAATGACACGATATATGAGTTTTTTTGGTTTTTGTTGCATTTTTAATACAATTCCATTTTAAATAACATGCAATATTCATTACAAAATGTAAATATTTCAAGTAAAAACTTGATTCATATTTGGACATCTTTAAGCAATAAATAAATGTGTTCCTTCCTCATGGGTTTTATACACAAACACAGAGACTAAATTAAAGAATTTTAGAATGATTTATTTTCAGCTGTTTGAAGCTGTACACCTTTTTTTCTTCAAGCATAATGTCATAAGCAATGTAATAATTGACAAAAAGGAAATAAAGGCAAATGTGATAATGATCATTAAATCCAATACAGTAGATTTATATAATCAGATTATATACATATTATCAAACCATCCCATTATGTATCTACAGAAATCATAACCATATTTTAACAGTAATGGTCATATTACACTTAGTTAATAAGAAATTCGAACAGTCTATTCTTATCAAATCAGAATCAAAACATTTCAGATGAAGTTCCTGTACAGTTTCTCTTATTGACATTATTGGACATTTTTATATATAAATACATGTTTAGCATGAACTCTTTCAACAACCTCTATCCTTGCTGTGTTAAATAACATTTAGCTCCCAAATGACAACATTTGAACCGAACATACTGTACCATAACATTTCACATGAAAAAGATGCAGCCTTAAACAAACACAAAGACATTTATGATGGCCCTCAAGGCAACTGAAGCAATGCTTTCTACTTTTCCACTCTTTGGTTAAAGTGCTACTGTACTTCCGAAAGCTTTAGATGTAAATAAAATCTCTCTGCTTTTTTATGTGTACAAGTTTATTTTTCTCTCGACTACATTTTATATTCCAACTACAGATCAACACTGTAACACAAAACCAAGCATTAGCGTTGTTCTCCACTAAAATATAGACCTTTTACTCCAATTAAAAATATAGATTCACCCAAAAAGGAAAATTCTATCATCATTTAGTCACCTGTTACTTGTGGTAAACCTTTATGAGGTTCTTTTAAGTGTTAAAAACAAATTACATTTTGAAGAAACCTGTAACCCCTGACTTCCATAAGCCTAGTTGTTGTTTTTTTTTTACTTTGGAAGCCAATGGTTCGGCTACAGGTTTTCAGCTTTCTTCAAAAAGTTTTTCAGCTTTCTTTGAAACCATGTCGAGAGTAAATATTGAGGACATTATTTTTAGTTGAACTATCACTTCAATTTCTAGGTACATTGCAGCCAATTGTTTTGACTACATGAATTAGATAAATCCATTTATTGGAGTGTCATAATTTAATCTGCTTTAATTGATTTTTGCATTCATTCTGACGTTAATAACTATAGTAATAACATACAAATGACTCTACAAAGCTTCTCTCAGCTTTTGCTCACCATTTACCGCTGATGGTTTTAACATGGCGTAGGCACTACTGTATAGGTAATGCATACAAGAGTATGTTACTGAATAAACATGCTAAATAAATGGATGCCAGCTCAGATATTTAGCGCTGAGTAAGGCATTTAATCTTATCTAATAATCCGTTGTCAGCAGATTAACACTGTTTTAGTCATTGGCTGATTTAAATTGTCAGATGTTGATACGATTTACCAGTTTTATACACCGAGACATTGCTCTTGTACACATATGAAGTTATGAAAAAATCATGCAAAAATAACTTACACTAGGAAGACTAGATAGGCTACACCGTTTTGCAAATACTATAGTAAATATCGTGTAAATCGTTTGATTTTAGGGCTATTTTTCTTGAAGTAGTGATGTATATTTTACAGCACTCGTGTATGTGAAGCGATGAATTTCTGTCCGGAAGAGGGCGCCATTTGGACAACAACAGAAAGGGGGTATTGACACACATACAGTGTACGAGCACGACGATTTTACTGTTAATGAACTTAATATCAAAAACAACACCACAATATTGCCTTAGAAAAGACAGGTTTCTGTCAACACTGACAACAGAAAACATCCAGTGAAGAACATGATTGAGACAAATGACATTCATTAAAATAAATAAGAAGTTTCCATGTTCAAATAAATAAGAATAAGGCAATGCACCAAACGCTGAGGAAAATGGCTATTAAATAACATTTTAAATAAAGGGAGGTGGGGAAAAGAAGATGGCTGGTGTGTAAAGCAGGGCAAAGCACACAGAAATCTCTTTGGTTTTAGCCTGACGAAGCTTTGACAAATGAACATGTATACTTAGCTAGGACATTTGTTTCTTAGAAAATACTTATAAAGTAAAAAGAACAATGGGTTAACAAACACTTTCAGATATTGCACATTTTGAGGCCTGTTTTTGATGTCTTTAAAGGTGTCATTCACCCAACAATGAATATTTGCTGCTCATTTAGTTATTCAAGGTGCAGGGCAATTTTATTGTGTTTTCAGCAGAATGGTTTTAGCTGAAACTGGTTCTCTGTGATTTATCAAATGCAAGTCAACAGCTACCCAGAAACTTCAGAAAACATATACAGGCAAAACTAAAGTAATACCTTTAAACAACTGATTCCGTGTAATATGATTCACATAAAAAGATTTAGCAAACACTTAAAATGCAGTCATTTATAAAGTGTGCAAATGTATTACTAATCAATTGTCACATTTTTTATTACTAATTCTGGACAAAAATGAATGAAATATCAAACCCAGCCATGTAATGAAATAGTTGGTTCATATTTAATAATATTGGCTGACATAAGAGATTCCAAAAATATTATAATTTTATTTTTAATTTGAAGTCAATCTGAGATTCAACGTATACATTCAACAACAAATATTACTGTTCGCAGTCCTCTGATGTTGGATTATAAACCAGATGTGCAGGTAAACACACAAAAAAAATGTTCTAAAGATTGTTTGTTTTTAAATAAATTTACTGTATCCATTTGAGTTGGAGAGAGTCATGATTATTAATTTTCACAAAACAGTTTGATGATTTGATCACGATTAAAATATATCTCCTTTTAAATATGAAACACTTCACTCTCATTCACAAATGTGTCCAAAAGTTCACATTATAAAAAAAATTTCATAGTAAACTACCTAAAAAAGTGTCCAATACTTACTACATTTTACATATCATTTGTAATTAGAAACAATACAGTTCATAAATCTACGGTCCCTGCAATTGCTCCAGATTATTATAACATTTATAAAGGCTTTTTTTTTGGGGGGGGGGGGGGGGTTGGGGGGGGGGTAAAAATGCAGGGTTCCACATAATTCCTTCATGTTGTCTCAACACAAATCAAGTAAACTTAACTGTTTTAACAAATTTAAGTGGATTGAACATAAAACAATTAAGTTGTCCCAAAAAAAAAAAAACGCCCCTAAGAATTGTGTTTTTAATTCATTTTAATTAAGTTGTTAAAACAAGCAGCAAAAGTAATTTTTTTCAGTGTAAATGTTTGGAATTTTTTCACAAAGCAATCATTTTGCTTCATGAGACTTCAATGTATTATCAGGATATATTAATTTAGTTTCTCCTCTATTTTTTGACTCTTAAAGTGATCGTAGCTGTCGACTTGCATTTAATGAATCAACAAGAACCACAATTTTCAGCTAATAATCTTCTCTAAGGTTGTACTGAAGAAAAACATCCACCAACATCTTAGAGGTCCTAAAAGAGTAAATAAATCAACAGCAAACTGTTCATTATTCAACAAACTATCCCTTTAATATTTCCTACAATCTCCCAACCCAAATCTAACGTCTGTCTACTTACAGTATTACATACAATTTACAATGGCTTCCTCTTTCTATAACTAAAAAGCAGCCATAAACGATACAGCTATAGCAATATAAATGAGATCTTGTAAACGAGCAATATATTGGCTATTGATTTAGAGATGTTTCCGTATAAAACTAGAGATAAATAACATCCAACAGCCTTGATTAGTTCAACTTTCTACATCCAGTAACTAAAGTGCTTCATCGCTTTCATTATTATTTCCCATTAAGCTTGCAAATATATTAGTCTTCCAGAACGCAGATAAAAAGCATGTGCACTGGCCAGTGGATCTCATGCATTTCTAGTATTCCCTAATACTGCACTTCTCAGTGTGTTCTACAAGGGGAGGAAGGATCAGAGACAGCGAGTTTGATGGGTTTTTTTTGGTGGTGTTTTTGGAGCGGCATTCTGCATATTCAGCCGGTTCGAGCTGTATTTGTTCGTGAGCATGCTTTCCCTATGCCTGTGCGCTGTAGGCTCTTCTCAGGCTCCAGGTAGTGTGCGGTTTGGCGTCTCCTGCAGGACCGGTGACAGTGCTGGTCCTGTGTGCCAATGTTTAGTTCAGTCAAAGCTCAGAGAGAGAAGCAGGTTGACACAGTGCCATTATTGACTTTTCTATTAGGACCGATAGTCCTTTTTACTGTAGGGCTTGTTGCCTAGGATACTGTCCACTTCATGTATAATCGAGGACGATAATTTTGGAAGAACCTGAAAAAACGAAGAATTGAAGTTTATATGTTTGGCAAAACATGGCATAAGTTTAACTTTACAGATAGTTCAGCACTGTGTTCCTTTTCTCATGAGCAGCTCATGATCCTGTGTTTTCAGTGTCTTAGTTTGGTTTACAGTAAATGTATAGATATATGCAAGTTGTTTGTATTGTGACAAAATGCAGCACATTTCTTCAGTTGTTTGTGTTGTGACAAAATGCAGCACATTTCTTCAGTTGTTTGTGTTGTGACAAAATGCAGCACATTTCTTCAGTTGTTTGTGTTGTGAGATTTTGCAACACGTGTGCTGTCAAACTGATGAAGATTGTTTTTTAATTCGCTGGTGTTTTTGTAATTGCATGTGTTTTCCTAAAATGCAGCGTGTTAAGCTTTCTTGGCCACTGTATACAGCATTCCAAACAACTAAAAAAGTCAGTAAATGACACGGTTAAACTTTAAAATTAAAGGTATTTGTAGCAGAGATCAAGGTCTTAAAATGTTAATAAACCAAAAACACACATCAATCACAAAATACAGGACATTGTGAATTCACTTGAACAGTGAACCTGTTCATATTCCATCAATGGCATTACAGTGCACAGAATAAATCTATTAGCTGATGTGTGTCTCACCTGAATTGCTCCAATGTTCTCCATGAGCTGATCGGTGCTGGACGCCCCCAGCAAAACACAACTCACACCCTCGTTCCTCAGACACCAAGCTGCACAGACACACACACATATAAACACTCCACCACTGTACATCTGCAAATCTGAACACCACAAACCACTGTACTAATACACATCTGTAAACGTGACCACCAAACCCTGAACTGCACTACTACAATACTGTACATCTGCAAACATGGAGTCAAAGCTCAAGCAGAACCTCACGGCTAATTTAGGCCTGACCGCATTTTATATAACCAACAATGTCAAAGAAGCGAGCAGAAGAAAGACACAGGTAGGTGTATATGAAAGAGTCCTGACATGTGTAGGCAGTAAACCTGAACTAACCGGTTACCACTGAAGCAAGTGTAAAAACTAAGCTGACTGTTGTTACGTTTTAAACAACCAAAACACAAAAAAATATCATTTTTGGTTTGATTTTCTTTAATGATAATGTATGTTCCTTCTTACACTAAATCCGTTGAGCTTCTTCATACTTCAATAAGTGAAGTTTCACAAACTAATTCCGAGAGGAGCATGTGATATGATTGACTGCAGCTGGCCACTAATCTACACGCATTAGCTAGCCAATCAGATTGATCCAAACTCACTATAAGTAGCCTAGTTAGAACTACTCCCTTATCTTCTTTTTTTCCGAAGAAACACCCCATCCACCCCTTCTCCTCCTTTCCTCCTTTACCAGGGGAGCTCTCGAGAACCACCTGCTCTCGTACTACCCTCACATGCTCTGTGGACCAGGCGGGAGCCCTAAGCTCAACTATCTCCGAGCTCAGGGTTCTCTCCCGGGACAGCATGCCAAACCTGCTAACTTGCTAACAGTTGTCAAACAATATCTAAGTGTGAACTCTTGAATGCATTTTAGTAAACTGAGCTTAAAGGTAGTAAAATAACTTTAGATGAAGATGATAATACTAAAACATTTTAGAATTTTCAATTGAGAATTCAGTTACTTAAACTTGAATTAACTGTGTCAGAATATATTACTAGAATGTACTTCTCAATTATGTATTAATAATAATAATAATAATAATAATAATAAAAATAAATAATAATATTAATGATAAGAATTTCTATATATAAAGTTGATGGTGACGATGATTATCATTAATAATAATAACAATAATAATCATCATCCTCATCATCACCATCAACTTTATATTTAGAAATAATAATAATAACGATGATGATAATGATAATTTCTAAATATAAAGTTGTTGGTGCTGATAAGGATGATGAGGATTATAATTAATAATTAATAGTAAAAATAATGAATAATAATTAATAACAATAACAGCAACAACAACAACCATAATAATAATAATAATAATAACAACAACAACATTTAGCAGATAATTCAACTGCCAAAACAGGGATTAACCCAAAGAAAAGTGAGTAAAAAAGTGTTTTAAATAATTAGCAAATAAAAAAACTAATTTCTAAATATAAAGCTGATGGTTATGCTGCTGCTGCTGATGATGATAATAATACAATTTGGTGATTCCTTCAGCTGATAAAGCAGAGAATAAGGTAAAGGAATGTGAGTGAGTGAGTGAATGAGTGAGTAATAAAATGTCTAAATATGAAGTGGATTATGATTAATAATAAAAACTATCTTCCTCCTCAACTTTATTTTTTAGAAATGGAACTCTGTTTCCATATAGGGAAAAAAATCTGTTTCCATATAGGGGCCCAAACCAAGCGACTGCTACTGCCCGAAACCTACATCTGCTCTACAAAGTTTGTTGCTCCCAAAGCAATGTTCACTGAAAATATACAGAAATGAGTAGTTTTCCATATTTTGTGATTCACGTGACCTTAATCTATCATTCAACAACTTTTAACCTTGACAATTAAAAAAAGGTGACTTTTAATAATGTTTGTAATAGTTTAAAGTGATAGATTGCCTGGGTTGGTGTTGTATATTAGGGTACAAAAACCTTGTAATAAAGTGCCAGTACATTTTCTGTTCTTTTACAGACTCATTTCTCCATATTACAGTGTATCTTATCTTATAATCTTATACATTATATTATTTCAAACTACCAAAATGTCAATAAAAGTAACTGTTAAACTGAGTTGAATTTTTCAATATCAAAAGTTGAAAAAGCAGAGATCAAGGTCCCATAATGCAATTCAATAAATAAATAGAAAACACTTGTGAATCACAAAATACTGACACTTTTATTTAACAGATGTTTTTACAGTGTAGTTTCAACATTTCCTAGAAGAAGCCAAAAGAGCCAAGCTATCAGGCAAACTATCCCACGGCATCCAGCCAGTGAGTGGACTACAATACTATAAAGCCTCAGACTGGCACACAGAAACCTCACATATCACACACATTCTATAGACACAAGACTATTCAGCACCAGACCCCAGAACACAAGAGGCAGGAGACAGACGGGGAGGACACACGGCCTGTCCTGAGCTCCAGGCAGGCAGACAGACAGACAGACAGAAAGAGAGAGAGCAGCAGGGCCCATTCAGTGTTACCGATGGCCAGCTGAGGCAGTGTGCAGCCCAGCCGCTCCGCAATGGCCTGCAACTCTTTCAGCTTCGCCTGCTGACGGCGGCCTTCCTCACTCAGGATCTTGTCCTTCATCCACTGGTAGCCCTGTTTCAAACACACAGCACAGCTGCTCAGGCTGCTGGAGAGCTGTGTTTGTCAACATCATACAGTATCTGCACACATACAGGACAGTGACCAGACAAACGTGCTGTTATGATGGGGTGCTGATGGTAGGGTACTGTGTGTGATGGGCAACCGCAGCCTAAAAGTACTGAACTTTTGCTCACGTATGCACGATAGGACAGGCTGTGTTTAAAACATAAATGATTATTTTACAGAAGATGCTTTTTGCTGCCTGTCGAGGGCGCATGAAACAAATCCTATTGTATTTACAGTATGCAAGTGCTCTTGCAAATGGTTTATGTATTACACTCGAGTGCTACAGATTCATTTTTTACTCAATCTCATAAAAGAATTGGGAAAAAACACAATTCTCAATGATCACAAGTTTAAGGGTATTTTTTTACATTATTTTTAAAGAAAACTCTGCTGAATTTATTTAATCTAAAATTATTTTTAAGTAGCCGGTTTAATAGTTTAAAACTCAATATAACTTTTAAAAGGGTGAAGCGCAGACTACTGTGTTATTGAGCATTGTCCAACTACATTTTCTATTACTCTAATAAAAATATGCCTAAACTACTGAAACATTAAAGTGTCAAAATGACTGGCATTCATCACTGCTCAAATACATTTGACAGCAAATTTCTGATCAGCATGATTGCTCCAGAAGAGGTGCTGACTCCAGATCTGGCTTATAATTCCTGATTGTTAAGTAGACCAGTTTAGAAAAGCTGTTTTATGAAGACTTGGCCATACCTTAAATAATAATTCTGCATCTAGGCTATTGTTGGATGTGCCAGCCACCATTGTGAATACGGCACTGTTTTTTTTTTTTTTTTGCATTTTAAGAACAGTCATCCATTCATTCATTTTCTTGTTGGCTTAGTCCCTTTAATAATCCAGTGTCGCCATAGGGAAATGAACCGCCAACTTATCCAGCACATTTTTACGCAGCGGATGCCCTTCCAGCTGCAACCCATCTCTGGGAAACATCCACACACAAACACACACATACAATGCGGACAATTTAGCCTACCCAGTTCACCTTTACCACATGTCTTTGGACTGTGGGGGAAACCGGAGCACTTGGAGGAAACCCACGCGACCACAGGGAGAACATGCAAACTCCACACAGAAACGGCAACTGAGCCGAGGTTCGAACCAGCGACCCAGTGACCTTCTTGCTGCGTTGCCATTTTCAATAAATAATTCTGTTCATTAGGGCGGCGTTTTTTAAATGTAAAAAAAAAAGTTAAATAAATTTGATTATTTAAAATAAAATACTTATCTATTAAATATTTATTTATTACTTATTGTATGCAGTTTCAAATGAAATGATTACTCTAGTCATTATTGCTTTTATTACTATTACCATTAATAGAAATAAAATTAATTATAATATTAATAATAACAATAATTATAAATATTAGAGTGATTTCTGAAGGATCATGTGACTCTAAATGGAGTAATGAAGCTGAAAATTCATCTTTAAAATAACCGGAATATGTCCATGCCAATAGCCTAGTGGTTAGTGCATCCGACATATAGCAACAAGGTGCTCATGGCGACGCGAGTTCAATTCCTAGGTCGAGGTCCTTTGCCCATCTTTTTCCCTATCTCTGTTCCCCACACTTTCCTGTCTGTAAATCTCCACTGTACTATAAATAAATAATAATAAAATATTTATTTAAAAAAATAAAATCACTGGAATAAATGATTAAATTAAATGATAAACTACTTTTAAACAATTATATTATAGAGCAATAACATTTCACAATTTTACAATTTGTACTTTTTTTTTTTTTTTTTATGAAATGAAGCCTTGGTGAGCAGGAAAAGCTTATTTTAAAATATTTAAAAATCCTACTGACCCCAAACTTTTGACCAGTAGTGTACATTTATTTAGATATATATTTGTTTGTTTAATTATATGTTGTTATTCTTTAGTATGTTTGTTTTAAAAATTAAATTTTATGCTTTATGTTCCTGCCAATTTGAACATGAGTGGAGTATTGTTAGTTTTATTGTTTAAGATGTTATATTAGTGTCAAAAGCTTTTATGGAATATGTTTTCCTCTTCTCCATGTCACAAACTTCAAGAAAAAATTCTCTGCACCATAAAAAGAAAATAATCTATTATTGTCTTTCTTCATCTTTCTTCATTACAGTATTTCATCTAAAAGGAAATTGAATTCAAAACTCACTGATGATTTTATGTATAAATAAAGCAGAAGTAAAATTTGAATCTGAATACTTGACATTTAATATCTCATGGTTTAATAAATTTGCTAATTAAATATAATTCCAATAACATATTAGTGTATCAAGCTAATACTGTGTATTTATGAACATTGATGTGTACATCAGAAAATAATATGCTTGTTATCATGTTTTGTTTTTGTTATTCTCATCCATACAATGTAATACACAGTGAATAAACTCATTTTGAAAACAAAAAGGATTCAACATCAATGTATCAAGACAAAGAAATTCACCATATCACAACATAGAAAGAAACAGAACAACACAAAAGTGTTCATCCATTTATCTACATGTCTGCAGATGAGAATACTTCACAATTGCATAAAGTGAGAGAAATAAACCCCAAAATACGACAGAAAACTCAAGCCAAGCCACCATATTTACAAGAAAACCACCACAAACAGCAGTCAGGACAGACTGACAGGAGTGCAGGAAGACAAACGATCACAAATATCCGAAAAATACCTTGAGGGAGGCTCTGGAACAAGGAGGCACACCGCTGTCATACTTCCCTGAGATGATGCCACACGCCAGTGGAGACCACGTCATGGCACCCACACCTGCATCAACACCACACACATGCCTTACTTTACTTTCATTTCTGAGGTTGCAACAAAAAAAGATAATTGTTTAGAGAAAGCACACACAGTTTATGGGGACTCTCCATAGGCGTAATGTACTTCAAACCGCAAAAACCTTTATTACATGGCCTTACTCCAGTGTTAATTTCGATGCCGAAAAGGTTTCGTCATAATTTTCGTGATGTACAACGAAACACAACTATAATAATAAAAATATGCTGACATTTTCATTGACTAATAAAAACGAGAATGTGAGTGAGGGACGTTTTTTGGAAAATGTCCAATCAGTAACTGATCCGCATACCTGTCAACATTGGGATGTGAAAATAAGGGATATGCCCACCATTATAAGGGACTACAAGATCGACATCTTTAGATGTAATTATTGTTAATTATGTTTATAAGTCTGTTCAAACACACACCCAAAACCCAGACTTTCGCTCTGCTTCAAAACGTGAGTAACGTTATAGAACCCGTTTGGGAAACACTGTCTATTTATCACAATGAAGTACGTCAGCTGACAGTCACGCACTGCTATATGATGTTTTGAGAATTGCATAGGATGCGCAATGGCACCTGTAATGAAAAGTAAGGGAATCCTGTCATTTTTATATTTATTTATTTTCATACCTTAATAAAACGAAAGCACAGACAGAACAGACTCACATTTAAGAGCAAGGGGCGGCCCCTGGTGGTTTGGCGGTATGGGTTTCGTATAGGGTGGGTCAGCTCTTTAATGTTTATTGCCACCTGTCAGAGAAAGACTAAAAATACGAGAGAAATACGGGAAAATACCTTTATGGGATGATAGGGGGATAGAACTATAAAATACCGGAGAATCCTGGGAAAAACGGGAGGGTTGACAGGTATGATCCACAGTAGACACGCGGGTGTCTCTCTGATTAAACTATAATGAAATGGCAACAGCTGAGAGAAAAACAAGATTTTTTTGATGTCAGACAAAAGAAAGAAAATATCTGATAAAAACAACAAATCTAAAGTGACCTAAGCATGCCAGGAATCCAAAAATCCAATCAACCTTCACAGGAAACGTGGGGTAAAATCTGATTATCAAAAGACACCATTAAATATGATTTATAAGCGTTTTGATATGCAAGGACACAGGACATGTCCTTTTAAACCACCTTAACAGTGGTAACCTACAGTGACCTACCACACACACACCTATCTTATGGAAGAGTTCAGGCAGCTGTACTTCCACCTTCTCTCTCTGAAACATGTGATATTCGGCCTGCTCACAGACAGGAGGGATCAGATTGAACTGTCGAGCCACTGAATACGCTTCCTGAAATTAAAATAAATAAATATAAACACTGATTCATCGTCGTTTATGCTATCAGATTCATTTATATACATGCATAAATCAAAGAAGAGATATACCATTTTGGTGTCTGCATCAAATTCAGAGTTTCTCTGACTTAATTTTTTTACATGCAAGTTTGAGCTAAATCTGATCTGATATTTTTTCCATATTTACAATAAAAATATAGTCATGTTGAGGACATTTTGAACATTATTTACAACATTATTAATTTTAATCCGCAGCTGTTTGTATTTGATTGGCTGGATGTTTTTTTTTTTCAATAGAAATACAACAGGTTTTCAAACCAACCATAATCTCCATGGAGCTCCAGCGGGATGTCCCCCAGTACATAGCCATACCCTGGTTAATCACATGCGTCATTGCTCGAACCGTCTCTGCCAACAAAAAAATGTGTACAATTAGACTCAGTACAACATTCAGACATTGCGGGACCGAGGGACAAAAGCAGATGAGATATAGAGTGTAAGATGACCCGACAAACAAGGACGAATATACCAGTAAAGTAATGGAAGTGGAGCAGAAGTAGATTCTGAGAAAGGCTAAGAGCAACAAAGGCCATTTATCATATTTTCTTTATACAAAGTGACAGAGCATTAAAATGGCCTGAAGGTTACGCATGTTATAGTAAGTCTACTCAAAGAGTTTTGTAGTGGGTGGAAAATAAATCAGTGTGAATCTCGACTGCATGACATCTGCACAAGGCTGCATTTCATTGACATTTAGCAGAGAAGCCTGCCTATAATCTACTGCGTCATAATATTATTACACACTGAGGCATTAATAATTCACATTATGAAACTGTAAGAAATCAATCAGCTTAAAGTACTAGAAGCACCATAAAACTGAACTGAATGAATTCCATCAAACGTTTCTTTAAGTGAAAGTACAGCCTTGTAAAATGTCATGCTTAGCAACATTTTCAAAGATTTTCCTGAAATTGGAAATATACAGAATACATTTTATATAATTTCTTATATACATTTTCTTTTTCTTTTTTTTTTTTTAATATGTAAGTTCACAATATACACTCACCGGCCACTTTATTGGGTACACCTTACTAATACCAAGTAAGACCTTGTTTTGCCTTCAGAACTACCTTAATATGTTGTGCCAAAGATTCAACAAGGTGAAAAATTCCTAAGAGATTTTGGTCCATATTGACATGATAGCATCACGCAGTTGCTGCAGATTTGTCTGCTGAACATCCATGATGCGAATTTCCCATTCCACCACATCCCAAATGTGCTCTATTGGATTGAGTTCTGGTGACTGTGGAGGCCATTTAAGTACAATGAACTCAATGACATGTTCAATAGATCAGTCTGAGGTGATTCTTACTTTATGACATGGGGTGTTATCCTGCTGGAAGTAGCCATCAGAAGATGGGTCCACTGTGGTCATAAAGGGATTGATTTGGTCAGCAACAATACTCATGTAGGCAGTGGCATTGACACAATGCTCAATTGGTAAAGGGCCCAAAACGTTCCAAGAAAATATCCCCCACACCACTACATCATAAATTCTAACCCTACCATTTGAATGACAGCTGACAGGAGTGGCACACGGTGTGGTCTTCTGCTGCTGTAGCTTCCCTGTCTCAAGGTTTGACGTGTTGTGAATTCAGAGATGCTCTTCGGCATACCTTGGTTGTAACAAGTGGTTAATTGAGTTACCGTTGCCTTTCTATTAGCTTGAACCAGTCTGGCCATTCTCCTCTGACCTATGGCATCAACATGGCATTTACGCCCACAGAACTGCCACTCACTGCATATTTTCTCTTTTTCAAACCATTCTGTGTAAACCCTATAGATGGTTGTGTGTGAAAAGCCCAGTAATCAGTTTCTGAAATTCTCAGACCAGCACCAACAACCATGCCACATTTAAAGTCACTTAAATCACCTTTCTTCCCCATTCTAGTGCTCAGTTTGAACTGCAGCAGATCGTCTTGACCATGTCTACATGCCTAAATGCACTGATGTGCTGCTATGTGATTGGCTGATTAGAAATTTGCACTAATGAGAAGTTGGACAGGTGTACCTACTAAAGTGACCGGTTAGTGTATTTAAAGTGTTTTTATTCACATTGTTTATTATTGAGGACACATTTGCAAGAAAAAAATCTCACAACAGAAATGAATAAATAAATAAGTAAATAAAATTGACATACTTAAATAGGTTACTTAAGGCATATGATAAATAATTAAATCATTTATTAAGTAAAACCAAACACTGCAGGCAGGAAAGGACAGCATTCACAAATCTCTAGTAAATCAAATGAATAACATATTAGTATATGAAGACCCACTAAATTCATTTGACAGCATATTTGCAATTTATCAGATTACACATGGTTCTGTAAAGCTGCGTTTGTCTTTTTCAAGATTTGTGAATAATTTCTTCTTCAATGACTGTTAGACAAAGAGACAACAGAAAGACATCAAAAAAGACAAAAACAAATACAGGCTCATGCAAAACAGAGAGCAGCTCAAAAATTTCCATGCAGGAAAGCTGGGGACACTGCAATCAAACATCTTGCAAAAATATACTTTTTTAGCTTTAAGAATAATAGGCTAGAGCATATCGTATGATCAGAAGCTGTGTTTTAATTCTTTACTTGTGTACAGTATAACATCTGCAGCTTTACTTATGTCCAAACTGATTTAACAAAAGTAAGCAAAGCCCAAAACAATCCACACAGAACCTACATGACAAGTGCTTTTCTAAGGAAACTACTGTAAATAATGAATAATATTTTAAAATGGAATGAAGATGCATGGTAAATATCCAAAAAAAAAGAAAGAAAACCAAAGAAAATGGGTCAGTAAGATGCAATGACCTTCTTCAAATTTAACTTGCAAGATTGACAGGAGAGTCAAATAATTCGACAGTCCTACGGCATACCAGGCCTAAAATAGAAATGTCTAGAAATCTTCAGCATTTTATGGACATGGTCAGGTTTCTCACACCAGGAAAAAGAGGGCAGACTATCACAAATCAAAGCCATAAAATGCTTTCGGAGACAGGAGGTCAACTCTCACTGAGGGTACCATGTACCTTCTATGATGAATGTTCTTGATTTTGAAGTGTTAAATGGATCTCCTGGTGATAAACAAACAAACAAAAGACTGTGAAAAGAGGTTTACCAACCAGCAAATGGAATGAAATCTCTGAAGGGAGAGGAAAAAAAAGGCAGCAGAACTGGACCAGAGCAGATTCTGCAAGTCCCGGAGTAATAGGACCACTCATGAAGTCACGTGGTGTGTGCACAAGCAATCATGTCTACATGGCCATGACCTCAGAAGCATCAGTCTCTGCCACTCATCACTCTGTACACAAAGCCCTCACAGCTGTACAGCACGGCATTGTCACAGGTTTGACAAGTTAAGCTCAGTTAACAGTGTTTGTAATTGAAATTACAGCGAAGAAGGCAATGAGGACATTTTTTGGAGGATTTTTAGGCAGAAATGTGAAGTTATCTTACATCTCATCAGTATTTGAGTTGTGAAGGTGTTTAAATCATCATTTTAGAGAGTAGTTTAAAGTGCGCCAAATATGCTTTTTAGATACTGCCTTTGATATAATGTATAATCTAGCAGTCTATCAATATAAAAGTTCAGCAATTTTTAAAAGATCAAACAGTGTGTTGTCTCCTGAAAGAAAGAACGGCATGAAATAAGATCAGTAATTCCAGTTTTACATCCTTCACAAACCTACATAAAGTAAATTCACTTTTGCATATGCTAGACTGTGAATAATCCATTTGTTCTTCCCTTCGTGCCCTGGGGGAAAAGGACACATTTGTACACCGTTCTCGAAGAAGACATTGAATTAGGTCAGCCTTCGTCACACAATTATGGCACAATCAGCAATCAAAGAATAAAGACATTGAGCTGGGATGCATGTCAATGCCCCAATGACCGACATCGAGAAACTGTATACACTAATAAACTATAGTGAGCATTCTGGACTTTTAACACAATAGTCTAATGATGGCAAGTTGAATAAACTCTACATTGGCAGTTCAAAGTGCATTGGAATGAAAATCTGGACATATCGAAGCATAGCTGAATATTAAGAGTTCAGTAAGTCGAAATGACACATTGAGAGTCAAACACTATTGTTTCCTAGCTCTCATTTAACTTCTTTAAATTTAAAATCAGGCCAATCGGAACAAAACACTGACTCTGACAATCCATTAATCAAACATCAAACATTGTTAATATGCAAGTCTTATTTTTAAGTTTACGTAGGCTTGTATTAAATATATTATGTATGTGGGACTCTTATTTTAAAAATGGTAGAAGCAGGGACACTAATAAGAAGCAGTTACGGGAAGCAGGAAGCCATGCATTACCATAGTGCTTGTCAGGAGACTAAATCTGGCATATATGGATTATAAATGTATTCAGTGCCACACGAAGAGGCATTAGGTCTATTTATATGTACCTTTTGTTAGTTTTAGTACATGTATAATGAGAAATTTGTAGAGTATGTTTATATCAAGGCAACAAACACATCTAGACTGCGATGAGTGTTTTATGCACGTTTATGGATTGTGTCATATCTCTTAGCTCTTTCTGCCATTTCTATAGTGAAAGGACACCAATCTGTTTATGCAGTAGTGGACATTAATTCCTGCCATTTTCATGTACATTGAAGCTTCAAAATAAAGCTCTAAATGCATCTCTGTCATTCCCTTTTGTCAAGTTTAATTATACTTTAGCCCTTATTTTGTCCACAACATGCCCCAGGAGCTAACTAGATTAATCTGATGAAATAAAGATAGCTTACTCTAGTTAATATAAACCTCTCCACCACTTCAGTTGAAAAGATTGATAAGGCATCTACTGAATTTATTAAAATGCTTTTTGACAAACAATGTGTGTATTTCAGAGTACAGTATTTCACAATTTACATATTGAATCAATTCACATTAAAAAAGGAGCAAATCCAATCAGGGTAAAATCCAATAGAATCACCGTGCTATAGTGCTGTGAAAATGCTTTTTAAGTAATATAAAATCTTTTAGTCATGCTGCTTTGGTTTTTCAGCCTTCTAAACCAGTGCTTTTTATTACGAAAGGTCGACTGTGACAATATGTAGATGTACTAGTCCATTTAATGCTTTTGTAAAGCTCTCAAATGCAAGGCCATGCACTCTTCCTAGACTAACTTACAACTAGACTCAACCATTAACTGCATAATGGATGCAACTGCTGTGATGCAAAGTCGAATCATCTTGACAGCACACTTAGACAACATGCTCTATTCACTGCTCAATATTTTGAGACAGACAATCAGCTATTCTATCCGATGTTGTAACGCATTGAAATTTAATGGGATGATTGTCTATTTTTAGGAATGCTGTGTTTTGGGGTTAAACAAATCTCTGCTGTTGGTCTCAAAGTGTCTGATTCCTGATAAGTTAAGAACTGCGTGGCTGGTCTGTTTTAATCCCATGCTTCAGTGCAAAGCAATCAGGAGAGCCATTCCAGTGCTGGTACACAAAGATGACACAAACTGGCCAGCATCTCATCAAGCACACTTACCTTCCATTGGCGTGTTGGGGTCAGGTCTGTTAGCAAACACTACATCCACATATTCTAACTGAAGTCTCTCCAGTGATGCCCTTAGACCTGTAGGTCAAAAAAATGCAGTAATGTTTATGACTGTTAAAGACAAAAGAATTTAAAGGTTCTTATTTGGGCTTTGTTTGATCACTTTATATTAGGAGTCTTTAGTACAGTGTATTTACACCGATAAGCCAAAGCATTATGACCAGTGCCAAACCACTCTACCCTACAAAGGAAAAGCGCAGCATGACTGTAAAAATACTTTAACACCAGCTTGGATTTTGTAGTTGCAGCAATTTTGACACTCTTTTTTTAATGGGTCAAAATTCAAGCAGCAGACAGAACAGATGTCACAAAATTCTATTTTAACTCAATTTTGCCCAAGTGTGTAGTTACTTTGCCTTTGTAATGCAGAATAGGGTAATGAACTCTACTAGACCCTTGCAGGTTCCCTGTGGTATCTAGCCCCAATACGTGAGCAACAAATCTGTCAAGTCCTGTAGCCACATGATGGAACTACTATGGATCATACTTGGAAGTACAAGTGTCATATGTATGTGGCCTGAAACAGCAGGACACCCGTGCACTCACTTATGACTATCCTAAAGTGATCATTCATTCATTCATTCATTTTCTTTTCAACTTAGTCCCTTTTATCAATCCATGGTCGCCACAGCAGAATGAACCACCAACTTGTCCAGTACACTCATACACTACGGACAATTTAGCTTACCCAATTTACCTGTACCGCATGTTTTTAGACTGTGGGGGAAACAGGAGCACCCGGAGGAAACCCACGCGAATGCAGGGAGAACATGCAAACTCCACACAGAAACGGCAACTGCCCCAGCCGAGGCTCGAACCAGTGACCTTCTTACTGTGAGGCTACAGCACTACCTACTGCGCCACTGCATTGTCTATCCTAAAGTGATATATATGTTATATGAAAGAAACAAGTACAGACCAATTGACCTTAAGTTAATGCTTCATTGTTCAGTTCCACTTGCACCCTTGGGATTCTTGCATGCATTCAGAAATGCATTCATCTTCAAGAATGCATTCTTGGGATGTCATTATGGTTTCTGAACCTCTTGGACGATACAATATATTGACATGGCCTTCATCGGCCTTCATCAGATGAGGGATCTGGGTTTTTATGGAAGGAGGGAACCTTATCATTACAATTTGCTACTTGTGTCACAGTAGACCTAGGGCTAAACCCAATTCTACCCCTTAGCCCTTTCCCTTTACTATTCACGTAAACGCGCAAAATGATTATCTTTAGCTTGAAGGCGTAGGGATAAGGGAAAGGGCTAGATAGCCCTTCAAACTGAGATTTTTCAGGACCACTCTCGAAACCAAGAGGTAAGAAATTTTCTCAGAATACACCAGCTACAACAGCAGTATGGCTGCACACAGAAGTCAGGAGATGCAGAAATTAGTATTTTTTGTCATTATTAAAATTTTTTACAACAAACAAGTATATGTTTTAATACATTCATAACCACTTTCTTGTTTTGCCGCCATGCTTTTTAAAAGACCCAGTAAAATAAAAATTGCTAAATTTTGCTATCTATAATCCATAATAATAACTCCTGTAGAGCAGCCCCACTACATTCTGTCACTCGATGACACTCAAATACTGTGTCAGAAAAGTTTTTGAAATTTTAAAAAATTGACCTTTTTAAAGTGTCTGGTATAATGTTGTCTTTTTGTGTGTTTACATAGATGAATATGGCCTAAATGTACAGTACATTTATGATCTTATCGCCACATTGTATCAGTATGATAACATGATATATGCCTTAGGTGATTTCACACTCTGTTTCAAGGGAAGGGGTAGGGGTACAAAAATAGAACTGGGATTGGGCGTACTGTTGGCTTGGACCAGAAGAGATAGTCTTCACTGTCATCAAGCATTGGTGAGCTTATGGCAGTGTGGTTTGTCCCATCTCAGAACAATTTAATAAAAAAAAAAACTGCTCACCAGAAGCAACAACCAAGCCTTGCAATTTCCAAAATAAAGTACGCTGATCCAATCACCTTCTTCAAGTCACTCTTTTTAAGTAAGAATTCAAAATCTTACAGTTGTTAAACTATAACTTAGTTTAAAGTGGGTCCTGCTTGACAATTTTAGTCCCAAAATTTTGTCCTCAAAATATAAAATTAAATCATCAATACAGCTAACAGGACTTACCCTCTATAATGTGTTTTCTAGATAGGCCTCTCTCTGTTTCTGCTCTGAAAAAACAAACAGGAAAGTAACAATTACACATTTAAGTGAATTGAAGTTTACTAGTGTCTTTAAAGACAACGGTATTTCTAAATTCTTGTCATTCAACTTATTGTAGAGAGTTTTTCTGTTCATTTCTTCAATCATTTCATCCAATTTAGCTGAAATCCTGCATGCATCCATCCACTCAAAGTTGATGAATTGAAACCATACTTTTTTTTCCCCCAATAATCCATTTCAGTCAAATCACAATATAGAAAAAAAGATCTGTCTCTTTTAGCTTCAAGGTGATGCTCATGGGTGAATTTACTAAAGGTCAAATTCAGTATGGCCACTGATTCTGTATGCGAGGCTAATTATTATCAAAATGTGAGCACCGTGGCAATTTAAAGGCATTAATGTTTAATGGTGACCTCACAACAGTGCTCAGCTTTGGCCTTTAATTTGCCCTGAGTGAAAGAGCACAGCTCAGAGGGGGCATTCGACCTGAATCCTTCTCCAATGAGGGTCTGCAGGACTTCCCTTACTACACCGTACACACTTGTGTAAAAGAGACTATCATTAACCTGCTTCCCCTGTTGCTCTCACAGTCGGCAGATAGTATGAATCATCATTAACCTCTTTGTGACACACATACACATAAACACTAACATAAGAGCACAGCACTTACTTTCCACCCCAGTAAATTTTTGTGGTGATGACCAAACTGGAACGTCTGTGAAAGACAGATGAGAGAAAGATGGGTTTGAAGTGATACAAAGGCAAGGACTCCATGATAGTCAATGGACAATAAATAAATTACTTAAAACAGTAGGTTTTAAGAAAGTCAGTGGAGTGAAATGAAAAGACTGGAAAGTATTATATTTGAATTTGAATTATTGCATTATTTGAAGTAAATCATATAACAACAATGGCTTTAAATTTTGTGCATTCATTTGAAAACATGCTTTGTAGTATATGACTTATTATTATACTGTATATATTAGATATAGTTTTGAAATTTGTAAAATGTATATTGTATAATATTATAACTAAATAACTAACTAATATATTATAATATAATAACTATATATACTATATATATATAAACCAGAAGTTTACATACTCTAAAAAAAAAGGAACATAACTTTTTTTTTATGTCTGATGGTAAATCTTACTAAACGTTTACTATTTTAGGTCTGTTAGGATTACCTAAATAATTTACATTTGCCAGAATAATGAGATAATTTTGTTTGGAGAATTTTAATTAATTTCTAGACAGCTTGGTATTTTTTAGCTTTGCTTTTAAGCTGTATAACTTCGGTGAAATGTTTTGGGTATCCTTTTACCAGGTTCTCACAATAGTTCAAAGGAATTTTGGCCCATTCCTCCTGACAGAATTGGTGTAACTGAGTCAGATTTGTTGGCTGTCATGCTCGCACACACATTTTCATTTCTGCCCACAAATTTTCTATAGGATTAAGGTCAGGGCTTTGTGATGGCCACTCCAAAACAAAATGTCCTTAAAGCACATTTTAACTAATTTGGCAGTATGCTTACGGTCATGGTCTTTTTGGGAGAGCCATTTGCGGCCAAGTTATAATTTCCTGGCTAATGTCTTAAGATGTTGCTTCAGTATTTCTACATTATGTTCTTTCTTCATGATACAGTACCATTCATGCTGTGAAGTGGACCAGTCCCTCCTGCAGCAAAACAGCCCCACAACATGATGCCGTCGCCCCCATACTTTATAGTTGGGATAATGTTCCTAGGCTTCTACGCTTTCCCCTTTGTCCTCCAAATATAACACTGGTCATTGTGGCCAAACAGTTCAATCTTAGTTCCATCAGACCACAGGAGATGTCTTAATTATTCTTTTCCCAGTGTAATTTAACAAATTATAATCTGGATTTTTTGTTGATTCTGGCTTGTTCATTTTCCCATGTTGTCACAAAAGGTAGCAGTGTGTTTGAGGCTTTCACTAAATACTATTCTACAGTTGTGCTTCCAATTAACTCAAATGTTGTCAATTAGCCAATCAAAAACCTGTAAAACCTTGACACCATCATCTGAACTTTTTCAGAGGCATAATCATTTTGTTGTATGTAAACTTGAATTTCAAGAAAAGTTATAACAATTTCTCAAAAAATATCTCTCTCATTATTCTGCTATTAAGCATAACAGAAACAAATTTGACAATCCTAACTTTAATTTTTTTTAAAATTAGAAATGTTTTGTATCAACTATCACAACTGTTCTTCTATATTCAAAATGCTAATTAATGCATTAACCCTCAAGTAATTTAGAATATTACTAGAAGAATGCATTAGCACTAAAGCTGTAGATAAAATAATAATATTTAGAATAATAGAATAATAATACTTCAGAATTTTTTACATCTTGCCGTTTAAATAAAACATATTCTAAATTCTTTGCAGATGATGATAAATAAAGGGCATTTGGACAGGAATGTTCTCCTCTCCCAAGAGAAGCAGATTTTTCATACACTTGAAACTGCAGTCATGCCATGTTTCTAAAAAGGGCAAAAACTTGGCTCCAAAATTAGACATCTTTTCCCTGGGGGTAGCAGCTTTTCGCCTCAGTGCTCGCATACAGTGAATGGCAGGATAAATAAAAGCTGATGTCCCCTTAAGAGCAAATTCTACATTAGTCATTCACAAACCAACAAAAACGCAAGGTAAAGGCAAGCTTATATTCATTGAGAGGATATCAGCAGTTATTCTGACACTCTGATGAGGAGAAAACAGCACTCAAACATGACTTCAAATGAGAGTTTGCCAATGTTTTAAACGGCAAAAGAACATGCGTACCTCCATCCTTTCTTCTTGATGATACTGCCGAGGACCATTTCAGCCCTGTAAGAAAGCAAAAAAAAAGCAAAAATCAACCTCACTTTTAAACCAAAAACATCCTCACTGTCACTGTCCTCACTTGCATCAGTCAGGAAGCAAAAGCATCCTCTACACTGGGGGATTCCCTGTTCTCAGCTTCTGGAAAATTAAGCTAATGAAGCGTTTACTTTACAGCAATATGAAAGAGACTCCTAGTGTAAACACGGGCAAAATGCTTCCTGTTTTTTCTCCTGTGAGCAGATTTTTTGAAAAGGGAGAGAGTTGGAGAGAACATCTAATGACAGATGTTACATTTTTGCCCTCAGGACTAATGTGTTCTTCATGAATGGTTCTCCCAAAAGCCCTCGTCATCCCAACGCCAAACTGTGAGTCCTTGTGACAGCTTGTAACAAATGAAGCGCTATTGTAACGTGGGCTCAAGAGGGCAGTACATTAATTTGTACAAACTGCACGTCTTGCTTTTTAACTTAACTAGTATTCCTGAAAATAAACTGGTAGGGTCAGGTTAACAAAAGAGGCGAATAAGGATGTCAGTTATGTATTTGCGTTACTTTCACATATGATTTGGTTAACCGTGAATGACAACCACACTGTACTCAGTCATTCATTCATTTTTCTTCGGCTTAGTCCCTTTACTCATATGGAGTCACCACAGTGTAACAAACCGTCAACTTATCCAGCATATGTTTTTTTACACAGAGGATGCCCTTCCAGCTGCAACCCAGAACTAGATTGATTATAGTTATAAATGAATGATCCTGGAATTAGGCTTTCCTAGATTTATTCTAATGGCTTTAGAATAGTTAGAATTTTAGTTTTGGGGAACAGTTTAAAAAATATGGTCACACTTTATTTTGATGCTCCGTTTGTTACATTGCACCTACAGGTCATCTAATTCTCATTAGATTATAAGTAGACTTAGGTTGGGGTTAGGGCTAGTGTAAGTTGGCATGTACTTGCACAGTTTCTTATAGTCAGTTAGTTAAAGGACAGTCTAGTAATACTCAAATGGACCATCAAAATAATATATATATATATATAAATATATATATATATATATATATATATATATATATATATATATATATATATATATATATATATATAGCTGTTAATATTTAATTTGTATTGAACAATATTCTAATTTTTGAGAAATTTTTAATTCATAAATGCAAGTGTTTCAATCCCCTGCTTCTGATTTTCCAAAAGGAATTTAGGTTATACTGTAAATCTTTAAAGTTGTTAAAATTAAAATTAGGAAGAAGAGGTTAGCTTACTAAAAAATGTTAAATTCATAGAAGACCGAGTAATGTAAATGTTTTTTGTTTGTGTGCCTATTCTATGTTTAAATTTTATTTATTTGCATTATTATCTAATTTGTTTGATGATTATTTGTGCTCTGATCTGTAAGATGAAAGTTGTTAATCGACTTTTGCCTTATTGTATTTGTGTTATAATGCATGCTTTCATTTTCTTTTCGGCTTAGTCCCTTTTTGATCTTTTTGACCCCATCTTAATCTGGGTTCGCCACAGCGGAATGAACCGCCAACTTATCCATCATATGTTTTACTCAGCGAATGCCCTTCCAGCTGCAACCCATCACTGGGAAACATCTGTACACTCTCATTCACACTCATACACTACGGACAGTTTAGCTTACCCAATTCACTCATACCGCATGTCTTTGGACTTGTGGGGGAAACCGGAGCACCCAGAAGAAAAACCCATGCAAACACTGGGAGAACATGCAAACTCTAAGAAACGCCAACTGACCCAGCCGAGGCTTGAACCAGCAACCTTCTTGCTGTGAGGCGATTGTGCTACCATGATGCCCATGTTATAATGCAATTAAACAACAACAACAACAAAAAAGCTTGGCTCAGTGTGCATTACATTTGCTCGGTTTTATTTTACACTGCAGATTTGTACTGTTTTAAAGTTGAGGCATTAATATAGACATCACTACTGTATAGATTTTCCACCTCTACTGGGTCACTTAGAAACCATAGTGGTGCTGAAACTATTATCAGGTTTTGGGTTCTGTACAGAGTGGCAACTATGGAGCCAGATGACCCTAAAAACACAAAACAATTCACGTGCACAATATAATTTCAACTTGCACAATACAATTCAAATTTACAAAAGCCAATTCATAAACTCAAAACTCAACTCGTAAATCCAAAGTGTAAATTAATGCAAAAAGCATGATTTTTCCACAAATGCTCACAAAAATGCCTCGTTTCTTGTCAATGTGAATAATGCTGTGCACATTTGAGTTTTATTTTGTAAATTAATTTTTTTTTTTTGCAGACTGATCTGGCTCCATAGGAAACCCCCTAGTAATGAGCCATAATACATATACAGTGAAAATGCACCAAAATAGTGCACATGCTTGACTTCAGTAACAGATTCATACAGACAGTACGCAAACCTAATCAGCTGTTAGAACAAAACATTTTGAGACACATTTTCAGAGCTAAAACCAGCATTCTACCATTCTCATCAATGATTTCAAAAATTGTACCATTCATAAATAGTTTTTCCGCCAACCTTAACTATGGAACAGAATGTGCAGATTTGATTGAACTAATTAATCAATCATTCATTCATTTTGCTTCGACTTAGTCCATTTCTTCATCAGGGATTGCCACAGTGGAATGAACCACAGCATAGGTTTTATACAGCGGATGCCTATCCAGCTGCAACCCAGTACTGGGAAACACCCAAAGACTCTTACACGTATACACATACACTAAGGCCAATTTAGTTTATTCAATTCACCTGTACCACATGTCTTTGGACTTGTGGGGGAAACCGGAGCACCCGGAGGAAATCCACGTAAACATGAGGAAAACATGCAAACTCCACACAGAAGTGCCAACTGACCCAGCTGGGGCTCAAACCAGGGACCTTCTTGCTGTAAGACGACAGTGCTAACCAATGAGCTACCCTGTCGCCCTGGATTAATTACTCAATTAAATATATTTCTTTTACATACAGGCAAACTAAAGTAGAGAAACATTAAACTGAATGCATTTATAAAAACAAACTAAATGTACACTACCTGTGGAGTTCTTGAACTTTTCTACATTTTCAAATGAGCATTACACAGAAAATACCTTTATTCAGAGAGATGAAGTTCATGTAGATCATTTACTGTGAACCAAGATGCTCACTGACACAGGAAATGTTCAATAGGAGCTGCTGATGTCAAAAGAGTAATTTCATTACTATGCAGATTTTGCAACTTGAGAATTGCAATAAACAATAGTTTGAAATAAGCAAAGCTGTTTTATTCCTATTTGGTACTTGTCAATATATATTTTTTAGGTCATGCTTACAATTATAAATAAGCGTGATGTGTTGCCAATGTGAACACAGCCTGTTTGTGAGTGATACAGGATGGTTTGTTTGCCTGTGCTTTAGTTTGTTTACAGTACTCTCTTCATTATTCTGCATGAGTTATCGATGTGCTGAGCCACAGCCTCATGGCCAGCTTGACATGGCATGAAACACAGATGGAAAATGCGACACAAAAGCACACAGACACCATATATATATATATATATATATATATATATATATATATATATATATATATATATATATATATATATATATATATATATATATAAGGTTATGTCCTTTAACACTCCTGAGGTCTGCTTCATTAAAGAGCCGTTTTGTATCGTTGAGCGTATTTCCACTGAGTCAGGCAATTTTCTCTCAACTTTATCAGCAATTCCCTGACGTTACAGTTCCACGGCATTGCAGAAAATAAAGACGCCACTGCTAAATTTACTGCAAGCTAGCAGGATTGGGCTATTCACCTTTCCATCTTTTTTCTCTTCTTGCACAAGTGAATTTTGCTGACCAATCACTATACTTTTTTTTTTTCACTAGGTCGTCTTAAACATAGATACCTAAAGAATGCAGTAAGAAGAACTTGCATGTTGTAAGACGATGAAATTCAGCAAAAATAAAGAGTTACAAAATAAACTACTTTTTTGTACATTAAAATGTGGCCTACTTATTCTAAGCAAAAATAATAATGACATCATCTACCCATAAATAAAACACCTACTGATATTTCATTACAATAAAGAATGAAAAGACCGAAAAAATAAGAAAGAAATAATTAGATCATGTATTAAAAGAGACTATTTTAGCCATTTAAAATATATATAATATCATTTTCCATGACTTTTTTTATTTCATGGATTATAATATGTAATTGTGAGGACAGGTATGCTGTTTCAGTCAAATAAATATATTTGATATTGTCACAATCACCAGCAATCTAGCCCATACAGATAGCTGGATAACTACAAATCTGCCATCAAAAGAACTACAATTCTGTCATGCACCACACACTCACACCTGTTCCTGTTTCACTTTGATTACACACCCGCACACAGTTGGAGGATCATTATGAACTAATTAAATGGACAGCATAGACAAACACTAGTTGCTGAGTCTTGTTATACTGTTAGTGAACATTATGATGCGTTTACTTTGTCTAGCCTAGCCGTGTTCACCCTTTTTTTTCCTTTTATTTACTGCCTTTGTTTCCACTGTCTGTCCTGACCATTCGCCTGTTTACTGACGATTCTCTGAAAGCACTTGTTTGCTCCTGTGATTGACTTTGCCTGCCTGACTATTCTTGTTAATAAATACTACACGTGGATCCTCTACTCCGTTGTCCAACGTCAATCATTTCACAGATATACATATCCTGTTCGATATTCTGTACACATTGTATACAATGTACTGTATACTGTATACATAAATTAAAAAATAGAACAATTCTATTTTCAAAATAAAATAAATTTTAATTACATTTATCTAAAAAAAAGTATTAATTAATATTAATCAATGTTCATAAATGTATAAATACGTGTTTAATTTATTACACTATTATTGATTTTATAATATTTTAAATAAGAATTTATAATTTTATGTTTTAAAAAAAAGACTTTAACCTAAATATTTAGAATACTGTAGATGTTGCAAAATAAACTGTTTGGTGCCCACAAAATGCGCTACAGAGTGTATATTCTGTGTTAATAACAAACTAAAAGTACATTTCTTTAAACATTTCCGACCAATCAGATCTACTGAAAAGTAAGTCTCTACATATTTTTAAAAGATGAAATTGCTAAAAATGGACTTAATTCTTTACTAATCTCCTCATATATGAGTGTAAATCCCTATTGAGGGTGAAGAGAGCAGCAGTAAATGATGGGAGATCAGCCAGGATACTCACTTCCCTGCCGCGTACACCTCAGCGGTGTCAAACAGATTGATGCCGTTCTCATACGCCAGCGTCATCAGCTGCTCAGCAATCTGAAAAAACAGAGAGAGAGATCACAGACAGAGAATATCAAATGGTTGTAATAAATCTGTACTGTATCCAGTGCTGCGGTTCAGATACTGTACAGCAGAGGCTGACTAAAGCTACAGTTAAAGTGTTCTGCAGAGCTGCTTATTGTAGCCATAAACAGTGCACTGAGCTCTAAGATTAAAGGGGTAATACAGTGGGCTCGTAGGACTTTATAAGACATATCATAAAATAAATACATAAAAATGTAAAAAGTTTGTCTATCTATCTATCTATCTATCTATCTATCTATCTATCTATCTATCTATCTATCTATCTATCTATCTATCTATCTATCTATCTATCTATCTATCTATCTATCTATCTATTTATCTATCTACCTACCTACCTTCCCACCCACCCACCCATCCATCCATCCATCCATCCATCCATCCATCTTTTTATCCATCCATCCATCCATTCATCTATCCATCAGTATATTTTGTGTGTCTGTCCTTTCATCGATCTATCCATCAATTCATTCATCCATAAATTTTCTGTATATCCATCTTTCTGTCCATTCATCCATCCATAAGTATATATGTTTGTCCATCTATCAACCATGTAAATCCATCCATCCATCCATCCATCCGTCTTTCTATCCATTTATCTATCCATCCATCCGTCCATCCATCCATCCATCCATCCATCCATCCATCCATCCATCCGTCTTTCTATCCATTTATCTATCCATCCATCCGTCCATCCATCCATCCATCCATCCATCCATCCATCCATCCATCCATCCATCCATCCATCCATCCATCCATCCATAAGTATAAAGCATCTCTCTGTCTGCATCCATTCAACCCTCTACATCCATTCATCCGTTCATCAGTTATATATCCATCAATCCATCTGTACATCTATACATCCATCCATCCATCCATCCATCCATCAATCCATAAGTATAAAGGATCTCTCTGTCTGTGCATCCATTCAACCTTCTACATCCATTCATCCGTTTATCAGTTATATACCCATCAATCCATCTGTACATCTATACATCCATCCTTCAGTTCATCCATCCATCCTATTCATCTGTATGTCCATCTATCCATTCATCCATCCATCCATCCATCCATCCATCCATCCATCCACCAAGTCTATTTATCTGTCCATCAATCGTGTATTCAGTGGAAAATTGTGAAAATTGTCCACTGATTATCCAAACTCATGCAACAAAAGTGTGATCATGCCACTATAACACTACTATCCAATCATTTTTGAGCAAATAAATGGAGCTACAATCCACAAAATCATACCTCATCAGTGATTTGTCCACCAAAAGTTACCCAAGTCCCTGGAGAGGGAATGTTTAGAAGATGTCAGATGTCAAACATTCAGCTTTATACAAAATTATGTAAAGCAGCTTGAATCCTAACACCATGTCTTAATAACATGTGACACGGCAGTGCGACATGCCATAAAAAATATCTTTTCTCATGTTACAAGGAGGTTTTGTACTAACCATCCACGACTGTAGCTTCTATTTCTGCAACGTGGCTTAACAAACACATACACTACTATGACAGTGATTACCTCAGGCAGTGAGTATGTGCGATACTCAGGTTTAAATGTTCCAATATGAGTTTTAATAACATTTTACTTTAAATAGCATTTATTGTCATACTGAATGCGGAAGCAGATAGTTACTAGTAAACTATACAGATTAAACATGAGTGTTAGAACTGTGACTCGTTGCAAACCAACACTAACAGTCTCTCAGTCTGTAATTGTAATAATGTTAATGAGGTTTAATTAATATTTATAATTTAGATCATAAACCTGTCTGTTTGCTTGGGAATGCAGTGAACTATTCTGTGTTTCTGAATGGTTCTGGTATTTCTGTTTCTGTTGTTTCTAGTGTAAACAGCTAAACTGCTTGTTCATTGAATTTTGTCTCACCATGTGTTGTTAGGACATGCTTTAATTCACATTTTTGACAATTTAGATGATGATTTTTACTCACCCAGCCCTAGACATGATACCCGTAAGCCAGATTTCCCGAGGTTCCTAAAAACACAGAAAAAAAGCCATCACATACTTTATGGTCTTCGAAAAAAATAGATGATATTATGCCATGCCTTTCAACTATTAAGTTTCATCATGATGCATAAATAAATGTACTGCAGCAAGAATTTCTTTTCATCTCAATTTTGTATTCAATCTCATACTGTACATGAGACATGTAAGACATGAGGTCAGCAGCACATATGAATAGTTCTGAACTAACCGTATTTTCATTATGTGTATCCAGGGCCAAAGTCTGCACATGTAACTCTCACTCTGACACAGAGTGTAAGTTGTCAGAGACTGAAATGCAGCCTGGATACAGCACTACTGTACTTTCAGGCCCATGAGCCAATCAGAAGTCCACATGGGTCTTTTGTTTGATATCCTTTGAGTTTGCAAAGAGCCAAGGTTACAGTGCTGAGCAATTACTATAAGACCAAGCAGTCAAGGACACAGAGCCACTTCATAATTACAGCCATTCAGTGAGCCTTTGATGATTATTTGAAGGATGAGAAGTCACAAAATGAAGGCTTTTTATGATTTGTAAAAAAAATTAAATAAAAAATTAAATAAACAAAAACATTTTAGAAGAGGACAGCACAGCTTATATGAAAAGGCACAACTTTTTTTCTAGAAGAAATCTTGACTTTAATTATGAAATATTCTTACTGTACATCCTAGGACTGGGCGAATAATTGAAAAAGTAACTGAAATCAATATTCAGAACCTATAATCAAAATAATATAAAAATGTATTGCGTGTGGATTCACATGATGCAACTCTGTTAGGCTGAGGCTGGTTTAAGCTTCCACTGCCACTTTGCAACCACATCTGATCTCTGGTCAGATGTAGATGATTGGAAGTTGCGCCTGAGATGCCTTGAGATGGCATATATTTCATTACAATAAAATTATTATTTACATTAAAATATTTGTTTACAGAAGACGCAAAAAAAATGCAGTTTAACATTATTTACAGGATATACAAGAGTTATTTTTATTTTAGAAGAGATAAAGCTCTTTTGATACTTTTTATATGAAAAGCACTGTTTCCAAAAGGCAAGTTATTTATTTTCCCTTTTTATAAGAAAAGTTTGTTTTAGGTAATGTGTGTTTTTAACTTTAGTTTTTCAACTTTGATGTTCAATAAATAACCATAATAGATAGTGTATGTTTCCTTTAATTATTTTAAAATCAATCAATTTATCAAGCCATTTAATGCACCTTTCCTTCAAAAATCTCTCTCTTGTAATATGTGAGCATATTTACTGTACTGTACTGTACTTTACTGTATTTACTCGTCAATGAACTATGAGGGCAAAACAATAAAATAAAATAAAATTAAATTAAATTAAAATTTTGTTCATAAATCGTAATTGCACTGTTCACTTAATCAAGATTTTGATTTTAGGCTAAAAAACACTCAGCACTAGTACATTTTAGGGATAATTATTCACAGTTTTCACCACACACTGAAGAAAAAAACCTTGGACTTACATGATTTAATCATGCACATAACTTCCACAATAATCTATTATGTAGCATAAACATAATTTACTCGCCTAACTTACAAACATTTAGCTTAAACATTTAACATGGAGTAGAAAATATTATCATGCTAAATGCTAAGTCTGCTCAGCTAATAGTTTGTTAATTACTCATAACTGTGCCTTATAGATAACCAATAGATAACGAACAAGGTGTTAGTTAACAAGTTATAAATGACTGGTTAACTGTATTTTAATGATAGATAATTCTACCTAATACATTAGTAATAGATCATGAACAAGCTGTTGGTAAATTGTTTACTAAAGACTTGTTAAGTTTCAGTTAGTAGTTTATTTATTTTATTGGGACGTTATTCTAAAGTTGCAATTATTCTTCATTTATTAACTGTTAGTACATGAGGCTGCAGCAGTAGAATAATGTCCTAATAAGATACATACGCTAATAGCTAACACTTAACTAATATATTAACTCACACTTTACAGATCAGTTGTTCATAGTTTGTTTACCATCTACCAACACCAGTGAAACTTTGAAGAACTTTTCTAATAAAATATTGATTTATTTATTTTGTTTTCATGTTTATTGCAAAAGGTACCCAAACCTGATGGGTTTGTATTCTGCTGTATACTGCTGTTTTGCCATGTGATAGCTCAGTATGTGTGTTTCTATACATTAAACACAATGTTCAACATTGTTTCTTTGGTAAAATACAGCACACAGAAAGGCCTATGAGTGGAACAAGGTTAAAGTACAAGCATTTTATATTTTAAATACCACATCAAATTCCTGTAGCTTGAACTTGTTCCATCATTTGCTGTTCTACAGAGTTTCACTGGTATTAGTAGATGGCTAAACTATGAACAACTGGTCTGTAAAGTGTGAGTTAATATATTAGTTAAGTGTTAGTTATTAGCTTATGTATGTTATTGGGACGTTATTCTAAAGCTGCAGCAATTCCTCATTTACTAACAGTTAATAAAATAATTATTGCAACTTTAGAATAACGTCCTAATAACATATATAAAATATTAACTGATACTTAACAAGTCTTTAGTAAACAATTTACCAACAGCTTGTACATGATCTTATGAATTTATTAGATGTAGTTATAAATCATTAAAATACAGTTAACAAGTAATTTTTAACTTGTTAACTAACAGCTTCTAATTTATCTATAAGGCACAGTTATAAATAATTAACAAACAATTAACTTTTATTAAACAAGTCATTTATAACTCATTAACTAATTGTTTATTAATAGTTTATTTACTAGTTTTAACAGGTACTTATAAATATTAACAAACTATTAACTATTATTTAACAAGCCATTTATAAAGCATTAACTAACAGTTTAATAATGATCTATTAACTAGTTATAACGGATAGTTATTCTAAAGTGTTACCGTTATTTTTTACCCAAGTATTTGAAAATAACTTATTTTGGAGCAGTAATCACAATAGCGTGAAACCGTGATATTTTTATCCAAGGTTATCATACTGTCAGAGTCTTATACCCGCCCATGCCTAATTTACAGTAAGTTAGAGTTGTTTTAAATGGACTATACACATTAGCTGCACCAGCAAATGCTTACTTTTAAAATTAATTTGTATGAATTAACAACCATAATCAATATTTTACATACTGGAATGCATCTGTATGCACTTCATTATTCACCTTCTTGAATGTACTCTTAACAAAAGCCTATAGTAGCAGCATGTACAGTGTATCCATTACCTGTAAACAGGCTGTCATCAGTGTCACCTCTAAGTGGCTCTGAACAGAACATCAGCGGGCGACTTATCTACTCAAATCAAATTATCAGTAAACGTGGAGGTCCTGAAAACCCATGATGAATTTTTAACTGCTTTGATGAAGATAGTGTTACAGGAAGGGAGATCCACTGACTGGCATGAGAAGGTGAAATGGCCACCTGCTGATGGGGCTCAAACTGATGTGCAAATCCTTGTAAAGTATGTGTCACTAATAATTAGTCTTTCCATCTAACAAGACACTGAAATATCTGTCAGTACAGCACTGAACAATGTCAAACGCTGAACACTAGGATGAGCGGCTAAACGCCTGCGGCTGCAACCTGAGAAAAGAGAGAGACAGTCAAGCATGTCTTTAGCCCTCTTTAATTATGGAACGCAGCAAACTGTAGAACATAATCATTGGAGAGAAAGTTTTCTTCAGCAGTTAGAGACTGAATTCAAAAATATGTCATTTGGACAATCTTATTATTAGTGTGGTCTGAGGCATCCTTAATTCACTATGAATTCAAAATAAGATTAGGAAGAAATTCACTAAGGCTGTATCTGAAATTGCCCCCTTTACACTTAAATAGATTTGTATTTGATGGAGCAGTCATTTGTGGTGGTGTCTGAAACCAGAGTGGACTCACAAAGCACGGCAATAACATGTGTACAACCAATACAATACTATCGTCCTTATTCTTTGCGTTTGAGCATGTGAGTCATTGGAATCTTTTTAGCTCGACTCTTCTGGTCTCATTCTCTTCCATTGATTTCTAGACATTAAAAACAGCTGCTTGATGTTGCAAAATGATATTTTCTTATAGTCTTATTCTACTTTTTAAGTATAGTCTTGAATGCACTTGATTATAGAGCATCTAGTTTGACGTTAATGTTAATTATTACTAGTCATTTCTCCCATAGGCAACTCAATCGGAAGCAAGTGCACTTCTGCATTTTAGAAAAAGGTCAATGCAAACCACCTGTAAAAAACTCATAGTTTCTTTTCCCTTGCACATTTGCATCAGACACTTTCTAATAATTAATCTATATCTCTATAAAAACATGAGTGTGCTTCGCAAGTGAGTGGGTTTGACAAACCACCTGTAGAAACACTCTTCTCTCTATATGCACTGGACACTTTACTTGAACTTCAATTTACAAGGACTCGATAAGGAAAACTTTGTTTATCTGTCAATGTACCACAAATCATGTTGCACTACTTGATTTCTTTACCTTAAAATACCTCTTTTGCACAATAATTGCTCTGTCTTATGTAAAAGTACTTGGATAGTTCGTCTTGGGTTATGTGTATAGTTTAAGTATTTATAGTAGGGATGCTCCGATTGATTGTCCAAATATTGGTATCGGCCGATAACGGCACATTTCATGACAAGGTAGTCACTAATTTGGCTCATCTTATGAACCAAACGCAATTGTTTGTTTATCAGTTTACAAATAGAGGATTCATAAGAACTGAAATCTTTTTACATGTCAAGTTCATTAAATCTGGCTGAAAATATTAGGAAAAAATAAATAAATAAAATTTTAAAATATTTTTTCAATTTGAATATTTTATAATATATCTTATTGTAATAAACAGTAGCTTATGAACCTTTTTAGTAAAGAATGAATGGGTTCATAGGTGTGCATTTTCTTATGCATCAAATATGCACTACAAACTTCATTGAGACATGTTGAATTCTTCTTCCATCATTTGCAATATTTCAAAATCGCTTT